TGTTTTAGTAATAACAGGTATATGTGTTGTTATAGAGTACGTTTGTAGGGATTGTGTAAACAGAGTAGTAATGATTAGGTATTATGTTGGAAGAGTGAGTTTGTAGAGTTATAGTAGGGGATTGCGTAAACAGAGTTGTAATAAAGCGGGATTGTGTGGGTAGAGTGGTAATTAAGTCTTGTGTTAGTAAAGTGAGTTTGTAGATTTGTAATAGGGGATTGCGTAAACAGAGGTGTAATAAAGGATTGTGTGGGTAGAGTGGTAATTACGTCCTGTGTTAGTAGATTGAGTTTGTAGATTTGTAATAGGGGATTGCGTAAACAGAGTTTAATAAGGTATTGTGTTGGTAAAGTGGTTATAAGTCCTGTGTTGGTAGAGTGAGTTTGTAGATTTGTAATAGGGGATTGCGTAAACAGAGTTGTAATAAAGGATTGTGTTGGTAGAGTGGTAATTAAGCCATGTGTTGGTAGAGTGAGTTTGTAGATTTGTAATAGGGGATTGTGTAAATAGAGTTGTAATAAAGGATTGTGTGGGTAGAGTGGTAATTAAGTCCTGCGTTGGTAGAGTGAGTTTGTAGATTTGTAATAGGGGATTGCGTAAACAGAGTTGTAATAAAGGATTGTGTTGGTAGAGTGGTAATTAAGCCATGTATTGGTAGAGTGAGTTTGTAGATTTGTAATAGGGGATTGTGTAAATAGAGTTGTAATAAAGGATTGTGTGGGTAGAGTGGTAATTAAGTCCTGCGTTGGTAGAGTGAGTTTGTAGATTTGTAATATGGGATTGCGTAAACAGAGTTTAATAAGGTATTGTGTTGGTAGAGTGGTTATTAAGTCCTGTGTTAGTAGATTGAGTTTGTAGATTTGTAATAGGGGATTGCGTAAACAGAGTTGTATTAAAGGATTGTGTGGGTAGAGTGGTAATTAAGTCCTGCGTTGGTAGAGTGAGTTTGTAGATTTGTAATAGGGGATTGCGTAAACAGAGTTGTATTAAAGGATTCTGTGGGTAGAGTGGTAATTAAGTCTTGTGTTAGTAAAGTGAGTTTGTAGATTTGTAATAGGGGATTGCGTAAACAGAGTTTAATAAGGTATTGTGTTGGTAGAGTGGTTATTAAGTCCCGTGTTGGTAGAGTGAGTTTGTAGATTTGTAATAGGGGATTGCGTAAATAGAGTTGTAATAAAGGATTGTGTTGGTAGAGTGGTAATTAAGCCATGTGTTGTTTGAGTGAGTTTGTAGATTTGTAATAGGGGATTTTGTAAATTGAGTTGTAATAAAGGATTGTATTGGTAGGGTGGTAATTAAGCCATGTGTTGGTAGAGTGAGTTTGTAGATTTGTAATAGGGGATTGTGTAAACAGAGTTGTAATAAAGGATTGTGTTGGTAGAGTGGTAATTAAGCCATGTGTTGGTAGAGAGAGTTTGTAGATTTGTAATAGGGGATTGTGGAAATAGAGTTGTAATAAAGGATTGTGTGGGTGGAGTGGTAATTAAGTCCTGCGTTGGTAGAGTGAGTTTGTAGATTTGTAATAGGGGATTGCGTAAACGGAGTTTAATAAGGTATTGTGTTGGTAGAGTGGTTATTAAGTCCTGTGTTGGTAGAGTGAGTTTGTAGATTTGCATAACAGGGGATTGCGTAAACAGAGTTGTAATAGAGCATTCTGTTGGTAGAGTGGTAATTTAGTCCTGTGGTACTAGAATGAGATTATAGATTTGTTATAGGGGATTGCGTAAACAGAGTTGTAATAAAGAATTCTGTTGGTAGAGTGGTAATTTAGTCCTTTGGTACTAGAGTGAGTTTGTAGATTTGTTATAGGGGATTGCGTAAACAGAGTTGTAATAAAGGATTGTGTTGGTAGAGTTGTCGTAAGGAGTCAATATAACAATAACATCATTTCAAAGGGCAAATTGTGAAATCTTTTACTTTTATCACCAACGTTTATGCTCAGGGCTAAAATAGCAGGAATTGAACGAAAACCATACGCACTTAACGATTTCTCATTTTACGGGGAATATATTAGGGAGGTGAACTTGTAGCATAGATATTATGGTCCTCTATGGGTAAATTTTTCTCTTCGTACTATTTTAATTGCCTGATTGAGTATACAGTATACAGAAAATAGTTGTAATAACCAAATGAGAGGGGGACAGTTATCCATGAGGTCATAATACACATATAAGTACAAGTTCCTAAATATATGGAGCTTAACCTCCCTAATATCCATTATGGCCCGTCAGCAAGTTATGTTATTTTTGGCCATGCGATACAGAACAATAATTTCATGAATTTGCATGAATACCTTTAGAACAGGCCCCACAAGGTGGTAATAATAAAGTGATAATAGTTGATGATGTTGGTAGTTTCATCGTTAGGTATTGTGGTTACTAAGGATAATATTGTTATAGTGATAATTATACTATTTGCGTTTGAAGAGTGGTACTAATAAGGGGTTGTGGGCTGTTTGGTGAATCATACAAATTGCTCGAACTTCGTATTGTTATGCAACTGGGTTGTTCTTAATGATGTCGACGAGTCTCTCTGCATATAGATTAGTGAAGAATGAACTGTGCTGTAAAACCAACATCCTTCATCCCAAACAAATATCTTGTTTCCAGTTGACTCTTCTTAATACAATTTTTAGAATCACGTTAACGAGAAAGCATAGATGTCACTATAGGACAAGTACAAACGAATGCGATCAATCACTATATATGTCATGCTGCCGTGGAAATTCTACGGTCAGATACTTTACCAGTCAAATTTGCTACGGTAGTCGTACGTCGTATTTTGTGATGTGACTGAAGTTTCAAACTCAGTATATAATGTAGCGTTATCCTGAAGCCCTTAGACAAACAATAGCATTTTAGATTTTCGATATATTAATACTGATACTGACTGATACTGACACTGATATATGTTTTCAATTCAGTGATGACCATGTTTTTTAAAATCAAGCGATTATCATATTGATATTCATATCGCCTTGGCAACAGTCAACATGCCCTTTGATAACACACTACTCGTTCAAAATCTATTTCATTCTGCCATCAAAAATAAATAAAGATGGTACACCAAGAGGCCGATTATACCAATATACCCTGCAATATACTCCTCAAGGCGATATCTGTTCAAAGGTGTTCCTTTCACTCATTGTACATGTTGTTTGTTCTTCGTCTCAGCTATGTTTGTCATCCAGGTTCACCATTTGTGTTCATTTATTTTTTACTTTATGAAGTCATTTAAAAGCTATGAAGTGATTTTGTACTATTCAATAAGTTTTGCACAAATATAGCTAACTTTAAGAATACTCACCCAATCTTATTCATATTTTGCAGGGAGTTGCCCCAAAGCTATCAATTTTTCTATAAATAGTTCCAATAGATGGGTCTCCAATAATTTATTGGAGAATATGACTCAAAACAAGACGATAATTCTCGAAATCGTTGTTCCCTCTTCAAAAGAGGAGACGCAAAAATCTTTCCTTATAAGGTCAAAATATTTCCCATGATGCAGTTCGCGGAGGAACAAATTTATACTTCCTTGTTTTCCCTCATAGGTTTAACATGGGGATTTTCACACTTATTTTTCAATCGATATATTCGTTCATATTCCTGTACGAGAGTACAGAAAAAATCATGAGAAACTATTGATCTCTTATTAATCTTAATATAACAGCTATTTTTTTCATTGTATTGATTCATGGCGTGGTGAAAACGATAATTGAAAAGTGAGAAAATATTTCGGAAGAAAAGGTCACGTGATCAGTTGACTAGTCGCCATATTGGAAAAAACAATTCCATTCGACTTTCAATACGTTCATGCCAATCTTACCGCACTACAAACTGCAACATCGATGCAACAACTGAATAAAAGTATTCATCTTCAAATTACATTATAGAGTTACGTTGAAAACCCACAAACAACTGAGCAGTAGACCAAAGAAGACGCGTCGCTATTATCTAGGTCAATCTGTTCAGTGGTCCGAAAGCAAATCTATAGTACTCGTTTCCGAATTTTGTTGTTCATTGTTCAATTTTTTATTGATTAAACTCGGTATACTGACTATTAAAGCAATGACAAAGAAGAACACTTGCGATGGTGACATTGTTTTATTTAGCGTGCGGGTGTAAAAACAAAATTGCGTAATTAGTTTGATTTAGAACTTTCGGGTCACGCAAATAGCTACGCGAAATGCATAGTGGGAAAATATTGACCAATCAAATGTTGTCCTTTTTGAGTGCTTTTTGAGTGCATATTTGCGAACGTTCTGATTCAAAGGGCGAACCGCGAAAGGGAGAATTAAGCGAAAGCGGGAAACATTGATACCGCTGCATGATGAAGAATGGGAAAACAGTTACACACAAATTCTATTTAGAGATTGTAAATGATTTACAAAATTAATCCAATTTAAAGGCAGAATCAGATCTATAGGGGTGAAGAAATTACAAGCAACATGTACAATTGACCTATTAATCTATTCTTTACAATCTCAAATACAATATCTCATGATACGTTATAAATTGGTGAAGTTATTATGGATTCAAAGTTCAAAAATGTGTTAAAAATGTTTCAATTCTCCCAAATAATAAGAATTGTAACCATTCTTATAGAAAAATAACACCTTAATGTAAAAATCTTTAGTTTTCCTGATATAAAGTGTGCACTTTAGGGATTTTTAGAAATTAGACATGACAAGGAATGACATGAGCCAGAAATTTTCTAAAATTGAAACAATTTTTTGTTGGCCTGCTCGCTAGATCTGATTCTCTCTTTAATATGGACCATGGCGGGAGCCGTGTGCTCAAATTTTCAAAGTTTATGTACATCATCTCAGGAAGAACTATACTCATGTCAAATAAACTTCATATATGTAAGAAAGGTCATGATTTATCGATATAAAATTTTAAGTAAAATTGTAAAAGCACTTCCTTTGAGAAGCTCATGTGTAGAACTTTTTGAACTACCCGTATATATGTGTACACAATAGAGAAGCGCAGATCTACATTATTCAAGGCGTCACTAAAAGGGAAACGTTGAACCTGTGCGTATATCTCGGGTAAGGACTGTATATACCAAGGAAATAAAAGGTATTTTTTAATTATGCTATTTTTTAATTTTTTTTATATTTCATATTCGGATTGTAGTTAATTGGATACTATAGATATGCCCTTGGAACAACGTGGGTGTACAATAAATACATGTATCAGGGCATCGGGGTTATAGTCTATTATTACCACCTTGCCGGGCCAGTTCTAGGGGTTTTAGTGCTAGTTTAGAAGGCATTCATTTTACTATATCGACCTGAGAAATGTGTGACGTCATATAATAGGGATATGGACCGGTCTAGAATATATTCTGGACCGGCAATTTTCCCCGGGAAATTAGATATCGTTCAATGCGTATGATTTTTTTGCTGTTTCAGTCCTGGTCGTTAACGGTGGTAATAATACTTGGGCATTCGGCCCTCGGTCCAATATTTCACTATATTGCCCTTAGAAATGACGTCATTGTACTATTAAGGAACGTTAAATATCTTTAGAGCTTGTCCTAGGTCAATGCATATGAGCCACATAAATTATCCGTTAGAATGAGCTAAGACACTGGTGATCCACTCGATTACGCTGGTTTCGGTAACAAAATGTCGGAACATCGAAGGTACGATTTTTCTTTTTTCCTTATTTCACACGTTGTAGGCAGAATTCTCACGACATTTTCATCACAAACGTGTATCAGTATCATATGTTTAAGAAGATATACACATACTTAAGTTACATAAACGGTATTTCGAAAAACCGTTAAGATCTGTACTTTTAACCCATACCGTTTATCTACATGTACTTTTTCTAAGACATATGATACTGATACACGTTTGTGGGAAAAAATGTCGTGGGATTCTGCCTACAGCGTGTGAAATGAGGAAAAAAGAAAAATCGTACCTTCGACGTTCCGACATTTTGTTACCGAAACGAACCGTTTCGGTAACTAGCGTAATCGAGCGTGGACACGACAAGATTGGTATTTCTACTATGTAGATATTGAGTTAATAAAATAAAATACTAAAATTAGTAAAAAATTAAAGAGAGTCTTCATGGATACCATCTAGAAATCACTGATAACATATATATGAAGTTATTAAACAGAACATATTCAATTATTATCACTGCATTTCGCTCCTTTTTATAGAGTCGCGTTCTACGATGATGAAGCAGTTAGTTGTATTGCTTGGGATGGCATGTGCGGTACATTCCCAAATGTCCAGCATGCAAAAACTCGGATCGTCTAACAACGAATTCGCTCTTAATCTTTACAATAAGCTAAACGAAGAGACGGATGGGAATTTGTTCTTTGGACCACTGAGCATTTCAACCGCCATGGCAATGTTGTATATGGGCGCTGATGGTGATACTAAGACACAGATAGAGCAGGTGATGAGGTACGAAAACATTGGTGAGAACTTTAGGGAAACGTTCCAAGACCTGAATAAAAGATTATACAATAGAAACAACAACTATACACTGAAATCAGCAAACAGATTATTTGGTGACCAGCAATTTACCATCAAAGAATCCTTTCTTACTGATACCAATACCTTCTTCGATGCAGAACTGGACACTTGGTGAAATCGATAAAATAATATATAAAAATATGTTTTATTTTGGGATATTTGTGTAAAAAGATGCGTAATAATACAGTATTTCCATTCAGTATTGTAATTATTATATTATATTATGAAGGAAAAAAATATAATCAGCATAATATACTACATTATATAGATATTAATATAATATAATTAGAAATAAGTGAGATCCAAATATATTATTTGTACATATAAACATTTACCAAATCCGATTTTCTCAATAAGAAAATGTAGCAGAATGTTTTATTTCCGGTATAATATTCTTTTTTTAGAATTATTTGCGCCAATTTATATTTATTCTGTCTTTCTAAAATATTATTTGGTCATATTTATCAATCCAAACTGATGATTGCAGTCTATTTAGATTTTTTCTATTCTAAAAAATATTATTTTCTAGTATTTTCCAATCTAAGCAGAATATATCAAATTATATTGTATTATTTGGGTTCTAAAAAATATTATACTCGATTATTCTCGTCCAACTTGATGTACAATCCATCTGGTTAATTACTTAACCAAACAAAACAAAGAATGCACAGCATGGCAGTTAGTAGGATTAACTGTTCTACTGGCCTTCTCATCTCTATTACTTACACATGTCACACATATTTTATTTTGACTGTTCTATTTCTATTTGAAAAATATTTACAAATAAATGTTTAGAAGAAAGAAATTTAACTTGTTTTAAATTAATGTTAACAATGGAGTAAAAATGTGCAAAAGTCATCAATTAAAAATCAAATAATTAACTTTCCAATGAGTTAATCGATTCAATCCAAATTTTAACACAATGTTAATCATAGAAAGAGGGATTTTATACAATAAAACAAATATGAAAAACTTAATTTGCAAATTATTATTTTTGTGGAAAATAAAACAATCGGCTCTAGATATTAATCCATTCACTCTAACAAACGGATTAACTCTAACAATCGGATTAGTTATCAGTGAACAAAAGTATTACTTATATTGCTCTGTCATCAATACATGAACATGTATGTGAATGGTGAAACTCTTCATGATTTTGAAAGAATTGTTGGCCAAGGGGAGGGGATCGTTACTCATTAGGCACGGGCCTGTATAAAATGCGTAATGCTTTTAGCTAAAATTTGAGCAGTTCTGTGTCAAGACTATTTTTGTGGTTGGCAGAGTGAATACGGGTGGTTGTTTGTGCCTGTATAAGAGTGGCGCTTAAATGTTGTTTGTTGTTAACTTTATATGGCAGAGAAACAATGGAGTAAAAATGTGAGGAAACCCATTGATTAAAAATTAACTTTCCGTTGAGTCAATCAATTTAATCCAAATTTTAACACAATGTTTATCATAACATAAGGGACATTATAGAATCAAATAAATATGAAAAACTTGGTTTTTAAATTATTTTTTTGTGGAACTTAGAACAGTTGGTTGTAGGAAATTAATCCATCGCTTCCAACAAACAGATTAGCTTTCAGTGTTAACAAAACACAATTGAATAATTGGGGATTAAAGTTTTACTTATCATATTGCTCTGACATACATGTCCTGTATGTCAACATGTTATTTACATCAGTTTGTTCTACCATGCATCAATTTGCTCAAAGCGTAATCATCGCTATGTCAGATGAAACATTAGGAATAAATATAAAATGTGCCCGCTTCTTATTTTTTATTATCAAACAACTAAACATACCGAATATACATTTGAAAATGGAAAACAATAAATTAATTAAAACCAGCTTTAAATGGTCCAATTGTAGTAGAAACAAATGTATTACATCATGGACTAATCTGTTGTTTATATCCCCAGTTTATATCTCAGATATATGGATAACAGAAAATGCATGAATTGTGAAATGTGAGAGAATACACGTTTTAATTTTGTTTTAGCATGGCTTAACACCACTTGTATCAGTTAACCTAGCCTAATGTACCTTTCTTATTTATCATCAGCGATTTGCCAGAAGAAATCGGAGCAATACATGTACATCCAATATAATACAGGCTCGGAATAAGTTTTAGCCCAGGGGATCAATTTTCAAAACAAACCAAGGGGTCACACTTGATCATTTTGGCCCGAAATCACTTAACAGTGCTCAGATTGGTAAAAAATGTAAGATTTTGAAAGAATTTTGGCAAGGGGGGATTTACTTGAACCCCCCCCCCCTCCCTGGCCATGGACCTATACCAAATTCGTAATGTTTTGATATATAGCAGTTTCGTGTCTTAAATGTTTTGTGGTGTTTGTGAAATGATTAAAGGTGTTTGTGTCTGTATAAGAGGGGGCTTTAAGTGTTGTTTGTTGTAAACTTAATTTGACAGAAAAACAATTGAGTTAAATTGTGAGGAAACCCATTGATTAAAAATTAACTTTCCGTTGAGTCAATCAATTAAATCCAAATTTTAACACAATGTTAATCATAACATAAGGGACATTATACAATCAAATAAATATGAAAAACTTAATTTGCAATTTATTTTTCAGTTGAAATTAGAACCATTGGCTGTGGATATTAATCCATTAACTCAAACAAACAGATTATTTATCATTGTGAACAAAACTCAAATCATGGAAATTGAATAATTAGGGATTAAAGTTTGACTTATTATATTGCTCTGGAATGTCAATACATGTATGTGAATGGTGAAAAACTACATGATTTTGACAGAATTGTTGGCCAATGCGTAATGTGTTTATTGAATATTGAACAGTTCCCTGTCATGACTGTTTTTCCGGTTGGGAAAGTGAATACAGGTGGTTGTTTGTACCTGTGTAAGAGGGGATCGATTTAAATGTTGTTTGCTATAAACTTAATGTGACAGAGAAACAATGGATTAAAATGTGAGGAAAACAAATTAATTAAAAATTCAAAAATTAACTTTACAATGAATTAATTGATTGAATCAAAAATTTAACACAATGTTAATCATAACATGAGGGACATTATACAATCAAATATGTATGTAAAAACTTATTTTGCAAATTATTTTTGTGGAATTAAGAGCCATCAGCTGTAGAGATTAACCCTAACAAACAGATTAATTATCAGTATGAATGAAACTCATTTCATAGGAATTGAATAATTAGGGATTAACGGCTCGAAAATAACCGCGTATAATAGGTTTTTGATTGCAAATGCCAACATATTATTTGCTCCTGACAGGAATATTATTCTATTTTATTTGGCATTATATGTTGTTCCCTTTAAATAATACACGAATAATATTATTAAATCAAAAATAATTCTTAAAAATACGTATTATATTTTTTTCCGTTATAATAAAAGAAATAACTGCCTATTATACAAGAAAAAATATTCTCTACGATTCTCTCTTAATGCAACTTATTTAGCAGTATATTAAACATTTTATTCTATATTATTTTTACTTTTTTACCAAGTGGGAGGAAGTTGATTTTCGCGCCGATGCCGAGGCTGCAAGGCAAAAGATCAATGGATGGGTCAAGGAGAGGACGGAAGGGAAGATTGAGGATTTGATGCCTGAAGACTCCATCACTTCCATGACTGTTTTAGTTCTCGTCAACGCAATGTACTTTAAAGGCAAGTGGAAATCTCCCTTCGTAGATGGTGCCACCAAAAAAGGATCATTCTACACATCTGATAACGACGTAGATGGGATACAAATGGACTTCATGAATCAGCAAAAGAAATTCCAAATTCACGAAAATGCTGAGCTGAAGGTGAAAGTTCTTGAATTGCCATATGAAGGGGATGACCTAAGTATGTATGTAGTTCTACCTGACATGAAAATGGGACTTGGAGATATTGAAAAAATATTGAACATTGAAACCTTGGAGACACTTGTAGACACAGCTAACTTTGAAGAAAAATTGGTCCAAGTATCGCTTCCAAAATTTGAGATTGCTCAGAAGTTTGATCTGCGATCTAATATGGCTGCACTTGGGATGGCCGACCTATTCAGCAACACAAAAGCAAACCTGAATGGTATCAGCGAGGGGGCAAATCTATTTGTGTCTGCGCTGGCCCACAAAGCTTATGTAATTGTAAATGAAGAAGGTAAGCTAAATACACTCCCCTCCATAAGTTTGGCGACCTTTTTTCTCCATTGAACTACGTGTTAAAGCCTCTTTACGTTTGAATTTTTATTTACTTGCATGTATATGCATGTATATCGAAAAAAACGAACACGACCTCACACTAGGGAGTTTAAGCTTGCAATGTTTTTCACAACCTAAACGTGAACGGTTTCGATTTTATATGCAAGCTTAAACTCCCTAATGATAAAACAATGTCAGTGGCAACTTTTCTTTTTCAACGTTTGTCATTCAGTAAGATTTTTAATTGTTTGAACAAGCAATATAGCTGTCACTTATTCTGCGGTGTTTGACGACGGTTCTGTGTATACGACCTCGTATGATGTAGATAGAACGAATAGCCTAAACAGGTTTGTTGAACTGTTCAAATAATATTCGAATGCCACTCCGCATTTAAAGTCCGCATTTTTTAAACATTAAATAGTCATATTAGTTGAACCCTATCAATGCTACAAAAAAAGGCAAATATTTCAAATGCATCGCTTAAATATTTTCCGTTTGCATTGACGGGGTTAAGGATAACGCGGGGCCTTTTGTAAATATTTATTTTCTGAATCCCTGCCTAGCATACACTTTTTGAAAGTGTTCTAGTATCTTTATTCGCAAGACCGTTACCAGGTTACAAGTACAATTACTTTATCTGTAGGTACAGAGGCTGCGGCAAGTACTGGAGCAGAGGTCAGTCTGACATCAGTCCAGTTTCCAGTGGCGTTCAAGGCCGACCACCCATTTATGTTCTTCGTAAGAGAAAAATCTAGCGGCTCGATAGTATTTGTGGGAAGAATACTTGGTCAGCCTGATACAGACGCTGTATTCGGTGGTGGTTTCGAGGGCGGAGAGGAAACCAAGGACAACATGGCAACCGCTACTGTTGCATCGATGACATGCGTAATTGCTGGAGTGTTTGCAGCTATGTTACGTTAGAACAAACAAAGCTAACCAATGTACCGTGATTTGAATTGATGTACGAATGCCTTTTAGATGGCACAGCTTCTTATACCGTCATGATATTTGCCCATGCCCATCCAAGCATGTGTTACGCCTTGGTCACATTTGCTCCGATTTTCAATCCGGCGCCCAGGCGATGAGTTTTTTTGTAACAAAATGTAGATATACAAAATAAATTGATATGATTATTATAGTGGCTATAAATAATTTAGATAGACGCGAGTCCATCCATAGGACTGGAAGTGGTGTCCATTTCAGCCATTGTATTAGTAAGTATACCAAATGTGTCTCCATTGAAAGCTTTTTCAACCAACAATCTGATTGATTGAATTGGAAAAGAGATGGGAAAAGTAAAAGAAAATCTAAGGAGCATACAACATTAGAAGATTAATGTGTAATACATGTACATGAGAGTAATTGATGGTTATCATATATAAGAAAAACAAGAATAAAAGATGGTCTATTCGGAACAGATTGTTTAGAAACAGTGTGTTAAATAAACATTTGTATGTGTATTCATATAGACTGCTAATGTGAAAATGATATTAAATAAACTGCTTTGAAAAATAAAAATGTTTTAACTCTCCAGTTATTCTTTTCACACATCCATGATTTAATTTACTATGGCTAATCAAATGATGAGAAATCTTATCCATCTCCGAATGAGTTCAAAATGGCTTCTCTGTAATTTCCATCCACACAACACGATGTCCTTGTATTTATGAGTATTACTTTTATTATTACCTTACCTAGAACACGGAAATAACAAGGAGTATTATATTTTTAATCAAATTCTATGTGCCACCATCCGATTTGGAGCCTAATTCTGTTTGTCTGCTTCGATTCATCAACGCTAGATACTTCATTAAGTCTTGGTTGTCATGGTTACCCAATAATGACGCTCAATTCCTTAAATTACATGCCAAGGAAAAGTTCTCTTGCAGTATCAAAAACAGGAAATACAGGTGGGGATTGCATTTCATCTTTTGACCAGGGGTGTCTTATATCACCATTTTCTGTGGTAGTAGCGAAGCCGGTCGTCGACAGAAGACTACTGCTGGTAATTAAGTCACATAGCTATGAACATATGACATAATATCATTATTGGTAAGTGAAATTTAAGTTGTACTTTAAGTCTTCGCTCATATGCAATATTCCATATACCAATTGATCATTGTCACGGTTGCGCATGCTTGGCAAAAATTTGTAAATATTGATTAATTATCAATATCTATTTTAAAAACGCATGCCAAAAACCTTTAAATCCTAATTCTATTTTCTGAAGAATTCTGGGATGCCAAATGAAATATAATCTAAAAAGGTCGAAAGAATATACTAGATGCGAGTAGAAACTTGAAGTGAGGTATTAGAAATGTGATTTAAAAAAGTATTTAACAACTTTGAAGATACTATTTCTTTTACTGGACATATTTTCGTTTATATAATTATCAGACACATAAGGATTATATGAAAATTGATCCACTTAAACTGATGATATTTAAGGTGAAGGGGACTTTCTTATATATATGTTAAACCGAATCCCGAATCAGCCACCTGGTGGTGAAACTGGTAACTACCTACTCGCATCTGATTGATTGAAAAAGTGAAGTAAACAATGACGCTTGGATGCTTCTCCAATAAATCCGCTCTCATTTGACCCTAAGACTATTACAGCGACGTAATTATGGGGAATGTCGTTAATAACTTGATGGTTTTGTATCTGGATGAAAAGAGACTCAATCAGGAAATAAATCATTAATGACCTTGCAGGAACATTTTCAGTTTATGACAAGTGAAGGACTTAAGATTCAATATTACAGAATCTTACACGTCGTAGCATTTTCTATCGGTTCAATAAGCAGTTCATTTAAGGTGCAATGGAAGTTAACAGGAAATGACAAAACAAAAAGTTTTTTGAACCAAGATAACAGAGTTCTGTTTGGACCTCCAGTCAGTTTAACTAGTTCCAAATATCATTTACATGACCGGGAACACAATGGAAATGGTCAGAATGAACATAAACATGATGAAACATTTTCAGCTCTCAATGTGACTGAAAAATAGCTAAGAGTAGGTGCTCAGGAAAGGTCACTGAACAGAATCTTTTGACTTTTTCAGAAAATGTGCCCAATATATTGCTCTAAATGATACAATTTAAAAAAATTTGATATCATTCTTAGAAAGAGAAAAAACTGAAGTGAAAATTGATCTATTTTCATTTTTACTACAGCCATTATTGTTTCAGACAATTTTTTCAAAATTTCAAAGATTGTATCATTTAGAGCAATATACTGGACACATTTTCTGAAAAATCAAAAGATTCTGTTCATTGACCTTTCCTGAGCACCTACATTTAGCTATTTTTCAGTCACATTTTCAGAGGGCTGAAAAGGTTATTTCATCATGTTTATGGTCATTCTGACCATTTCCATTGTGTTCCCGGTCATGTAAATGATATGTGGAACTATATGTGCAAAAGATATTTTTTTAAAATGATGACCACCACCATAGCTCGATTTATCGAGCAAACTGAACGAAATAAAAAGTATTGTTTGGCAGGCATTCCCATGAGGTGAATACGATTTTTGTGAGTGGAATTGGGAGGTGAATACGATTTTCGTGAGAGGGATTGGGAGGGAGAATACGCATTCTCAATACCAAAAATATCCCCCCGTGTTATTCACCTGGAAGTAGTAGTTTCATTGGATAAATAATCTCATTACGGCCCTCTAGATCTATTTTGCTTAATTAAAGAAAATAAAGGAACTTTTGATTCTATTTCAGAACACTTTCTTATGATATACAGCAGAGGCAAATGATGGAAGATACAAGGAAACTATTTTCTGAAGGTCCTGTATCAACATGACGACTATCTTAATGCTGTTACCCATTTTCAGTAATCAGGAAAATAAGAAGTAACTGTTGGACCTAACCAAATGAAACGATGGAGAATTTCTTTCAACGAACAGAACGAATAGACTCAGAAGCCTCTGTGGAGAGTTTGTCGTTACAAAAATGGCGGATGGCGAATGTTATTTTGAACCCTGATCTATCTACAAGGAATGGAAGAAGAATCCAACTTATCAAACTCCTCACACTTCTTTTAATTCCTTTACTGGCCCTCACCGCACAATCTATCGTCAACTTATTTAATGCTCAGAAGAAGAACACATGGGCGAGTAACGAATACAACTCTGTCCTTATTCTCGCTGATGTCAGCAAAGTGATCGAGGCACTCCAAGTAGAACGTGGACTTACATCCATGTACATAGAGTCTTACGATACTGACATTTTTCAAAAGATGTATGCTCATTATCTCATTACCGATCATTCCATAAATTCTGTTACCGAGTGGCCCGATACCTCAGATGATTTTCCGTTTGATAACGTACTGGACTTCAAAACTGTGCTCCAAGACAGACGGGCCACTGTGTCGCGATTTGGAACTCGCACTACAGTACGAAAGGAACTGAACTTCTATACAATGGTAATTGGTAACATAACGGACTGGATTATGTCTACAATTTACGATCCCGATGAAGCAACCTACGATGAAGATACCACTGAGTGGCAAAATGATATCGCCGTCGGTTATTTGCTAGATATCCAAGACCGAATAGGGATACAACGAGCACTTGGATCGGTTTATTTTATAAATGGTCGACTGAATGAAAACAACTTTCAATATTTTCTTGAAAATAATGCTTTGTCAGAATTTTACATGAACAAAGTTAGGGAATTGGATGCCGATCTGAATTCATTTTACGAAGAGCAGTGGGTACTTCCCGGGTACGAAGCACGTTTAGAAAACATGACAGCAGAAATTACAGAGCGTCGTTCGGATTTAGGATCACAGCGCTACAAAGCACTGGTTTGGTTTTCGAACAAAACGTACCAAATCGAGACATTGGGTAGCATGAGGGATATGGTACTTGCGGACCATCTTGAGGACCTAAAGCTTGGATTTAACAATGCCAATGACGCGATGATTCGTGAAATCATTACCCTTCTTGTAATCGTATGCATCATTCCAACTCTAACCTTTATGTTTTACAAAGCTACATCTGGCATTACGAATTACACAAAAGAGCTAGAAACACAAAAGAAGCAGCTCAAAAAAGAGAAACGGAAAACTGAGTATTTACTGTTTCAAATGATACCAAGAATTGTAGCGATGAGATTAAAGCGACGAAAGAACGATAAGCGGATCATCGCCGAGAAATTCGGGAGTGTGTCGGTGTACTTCAGTAATGTTGTTGGCTTCACCGATCTCTCATCGTCTCTCCCTCCTAGACAGGTGGTGAATCTTCTCAACACTGTCTATACATTTCTCGATGAGAGGATCGAGTGTTATGACGTGTATAAGGTAGAGACAATCAATGATGTTTACATGGTCGCAAGTGGTCTACCGCACAGGAATGGTGATCGACATACTCTGGAGATAGCTCTTCTGGCACTTGATGTAATCTACAGGGTCAAGAGAGTTGCTGTATCCGATCTACCAGGTATGGAGATCCAACTACAGGTCGGCATGCATACAGGTACTTGTCTTGCTTTTTTATTTAAGATCCCTGATATTAAGATTTTTGAGATTTTCTTATTAGCATGTTGGCTAATTTTCTTTCAAACCATGATGTGAACATCTAGACTCATAGACTGGAAAAATCATCTAAAATGTCTTTGATCTAAATCGGCTTGTATAGTTGGCATGTTTATGTACATTTAACAATGAGTTGAAGTACAAAATACAAGAACGTCATTAACTTTGTTGAGCTTGTTAATGACATGGGCTTTCAAGAGAGCGCGAAGGCAATATTTAAAAACAAACAACACAAATGGTGACCTCAATAGCTAATTCCCTAATATGTAAAGTAACCTTTTCAATCACATCCTGTTTAAGGCCCAGTGGTAGCAGGAATTGTTGGAAACAGAATGCCAAGGTATTGCCTATTTGGTGATACCGTTAATACAGCTGCAAGAATGCAAACAAGCGGAGAGCGTAAGTAAAATGATCGTATCGAAAATAACATGACTTACATGCGATTGTCATTATCACGAGCTCTTTCATTAAATGTGAATTTTGCAACTTTCCATTTTGAATAACTTTACTGTATTGACAGAATGAGTTATTCGTATTAAATCCATAAATATTGCAATTAATATATCTCCTACGCCTGTTTGTGCAGCACAGAAAATCCACATATCTCACGCTATGCATTCGGCCCTTGAGAGAACCGGCAAGTTTATTACAGAGGAGAGAGGCATGACACACATTAAGGTAAAAAACTGGGCAAGGTAATGACCGAGTAGAGGTTGATATTGGGAATGGATAATAAGCATAGCAAACATAAATAAAAAACATGGCCAATTACTTCTTAATCTAGATCAGTCGGTGAAAGGGTGTAAGAAAAGTACAATAAGTTACGACTATATAAAGTCACTGTGTGCTAGCCCTGCGGGGTGTATTCGACAATAGTACTCCCGCTCTTCGGTCTATATTTCTTAATTATCCAACACGTTTATTGTCCCCTCTTGTCATAATTACAATTTTTCTTATTCAATTAAGTTATGCCCAATAACTTTCTATAGCCATCTCAGTGAAATATGTAATACCGATGCGACAGAAATGGTAGTGTCAATTATTGTCCTACGTCTGTAGAGACATTCCTGGCCTTGGTTGAATATAAAATGATCGTAGTGGAAACAGCAAGTTCAAGGATTCCAAACAAAGAATTTGACAATATTTCTTTTCGATTAGTAGAAGCACTCAAAGTTAACAAAAATGACATCTGTTTTTAAGTTACACGTATGTGGTGTCCTGTGTAATTATTTCCTAATTAAACAGTCTTCACCACAAACCACACAACATAATATCATATATATTATAGGATTAAATTCGAGCCAGCAGCCCGCGTTTATTGGAATAGCATTAAGTACATCGGATACAAAGAATGAGTGAAAAAATGAAAAAATGTAGCCAGTTCGCGATGCATCCAGGTACCTATGACGGCCACGATGCCAATGTCATAGCGGCCACGATGCCGATGGCATTAATGCCAGAAACCTCTTAGGTTCAAAGATACCCAACATCCGTCCTCGGCTCCCAACCTCGCTGCTGATTTACGATGTTTAACTGCCTTCAAGACACCAAAAAGGCACCGTGTGCCTAATTATAACATCTAAATCCAACAACCCATCAATATCTAATGATCAACTGTCATTAAAGCCATTGTGGCTACACGTTTGTTAACACGTCAAAGATCTCAAATTAATTCACAAATTTCGGAATAAACCAATTCTAAATTGTGACTATCTGTCAACTTGCACTATAAAAAAACTTGTATAAGGAACACACGTATATAGTGCCTTCTAGCACTATGCAAAATCTGTGAGTAACATACCTCACTATCTAATACAGTAACCACGCACTGTCATTAATACATAACAATAATCTAAATCACTGTCTACAGACATGCACTGTAACAATAACATTGCCTTTTGGCAAAACACGTAACTCAGAAAGTTAATGAAACTTGCTTCTTTAATAGACTGTCGTAATATGCGACATTGTTGGTCACAAAAGACAAAAATTCCGTGATTGTCACAAGAATCCACGACCGGACTACAAAAATCATACAATCTTCTAAAACTATTGTGATGAACAATATAATATCTGGAAAGCACCAAGCTTTACAAACCCTTATACAAACTGATCTCGTATTGCAACAAAAGCAAAAGTACAATTCTTCGAAACGTTGTAAATCTAAATACTATCTGTTTAATATAAAATGCAATTAGCTGACAAGCACTTCTCTTAATGTGTTTGTCACACTGATATAACACAACTACTGTAAATGTTGTTAAGGAACACAACTATCATTTTAAAATACCAAAATTGATGCCCTTCTGGAAATAGATATTACATATCTAAAAATATAAAGGACTTCCGGATATAATCAATATCTTAAAAAGAAAAACTTTGTACCTTCCTTGAAACAATATGACAGAAACGCACTTAAATACATGTTTATTCGCTTAGATACAATGCGCTGTCAGTAAAAAGCCATGCCTTAAGTTTCAGATTTATATGCAAATTACATAATTGCTTCTTAGAAACCTAATATCTAAATGTTTTAATTAACTTAATTAACATCCTATGCTATGCAATGCTTTGTAATAATTGCAGAAAAATATACTTCCCAAAATAGTAATTATTGGGAACAGGTTACATCAACGTCAGAACACGTATACTTTATTCAAAAACGTTGATTTGGTCAATAGCACTAAAGAAAGTGTTCATTGACTTCAATATGAAAAACTTTAGTTTATCGACCTGACACCGTTAAAACCCAGATCAAAATATTTGTGACTTTCGAAAGGGAAAAAGGTATGCCTCCTCGAACAATAAAACTAAAATTTCGAATCGGTTGTATGACAACTTACAACATTAACTAAAACTGTGTATAAACGCTTCGGTTGCTACTCGCAGAATAACACGATCCCATCGTGTATCCACTCACATAACCTACTCATGATCACATCATGTTATCCAATCAGTTGAAATCGCGTTCGATTTCACTAACGCCAAGACGTTATATCAACCGGAAATAAAATAATTCAACTCTAATTTCAAACGTGTTGAATTTTAATTATTTCCTAATTAAACAGTCTTCACCACAAACCACACAACATAATATCATATATATTATAGGATTAAATTCGAGCCAGCAGCTACGCCAGAACCTCCTAAAAAACGGGCAAACTAGTGTCCAAAGCTCGAAATGTCTTTTCATTGAGACTTTCCAACAAAGGTAGTCTTCCTTGAATCAGTCCAAGGCATCTTCTCTGTATCACACGTACATGTATCTATCTTATACGGATCTCAATCCAACAAAGTAAAGTCTTCTAGTCATCAGCTCAATGCATCTAACCTATATCACGCTTGTATCTATCTTGTATGGACAAAATGTGTTCCAGTGTTCACTTAGGCTTGTGTCCATACCCTACTATGGGTTGTATTTCTTGTATCTGTCTTATATGGATCTCAATCCAACCAAGTAGTCTTCTTGAATCAGTCCAAAGCATCTTGTTTATATCACACTTGTATCTATCTTATAAGGGCAACTTGTGTTCCAGTATTCATTTAGGCGTGTGTCCATACCCTACTATGGGTTGTATTTCCTGAAATTACACAGAACTAGCATTAAAAACATGCAAATATCGCATTGTCGCTCCAAGCGACAAACCTCTTTTGAGGTTGCTAAATTGTACCTGCGTTCGACGCATTATATGAATCCGTCAACCCACGATACAAATAGACTTTTACGTCAGAGTTCGAACTGTACTGCATCAGAACAACTGCTCGACGTAATGGCTACAATGCCAAACATGATAACAATTTTTACGTCGGAGTTCCAACTGTATTACAACAGAACAACTTTTCGACGCACTGGAAATAATGCCAAACATGACAACAATTTTCACGTCGGAGTTCCAACTGTACTTCAACAGAACAACTATTCGACGTACTGGTAATTATGCCAAACATAACAATTTTTATGTCGGAGTGCCAACTGTGCTTTAACAGAACAACTACTCAACGTAATGGCCATAATGCCAAACATATTCAATATAGAATGCAATTAGCTAACGAACACTTCTCTAATGTGTTTGTCGCACTAATATTATAAATGTTGTTAAGAACACAACTATCATCTTAAAACCATATTAACAACTATTCAACGTCATGGCTATAGTGTCAAGCATGACAACAATTTTTATTCAACAGAACAACTACTCAACGTAATGGCTATAATGCCAAACATAATGACAATCCTAAGTCAGAGTCCAAATATGTAATTTACCAAGTGTATTTCTTCAAAAATCAATTCACAAAAATTCGTTTGATTCTTTAAAAATCTAAAAATGCAATATTTCAACTTCGCTCTGCATCCTAAATACATCTGTGAATATGCCAGCTCAAAATAGTTTCTTTGCATTTCATCTTTCTTCTTAAAGACTTTTCAACTGTATAAACTATAGATGACACAAATGCATACCTAAGTACCGTGCCTAAGTATCGTTCAATAAAACTGAACTAGATCCAACACAGTCGCTTGAACTAAACTAGTCCCAAAAAGATTTGATCATCTTTCAAATAACTTGTTTAATTTTAACCAAAATTATATGCAGTAACAAATTTTAAACATCAATGTTTGCCAAAAAACATGGATCATCCAGGGAACATACCTGGATCAAAATACCCAATGTATAAACTCAAACCATTGTCTATCTTACATCGATTTCTCTATGCTATATACAGTAAACTCTAGAAATGTACAATTATCATTTGGACCATGAGTCACACACTAAGCTAACGCTTATTTCAAAATGTCTCAAGTATGGAGCAACTCTGCAAGTTTTTATTTAATCTTCGAGAAACTATATTCAACATGCAATAACTATGCATTTATCTAACAATGTAACCAAAGTAAATGTCCAAATCTGACTACTCCCAGTCTCGAGTCAAGACAATTCAACTATGTTCTAAATAAAAATAGTCCAGGTTTTAAACCTAAATGATTATAATAGGGAAATCACCTACCTAATCAGACTATTTAAGTATTTATTCAAAATCTTCTAATCGCCTTAGAAAAGTATCTATCGATTTTCAAACAAATCGAAAACAAGAGTGTTAAAGACGAAAAGTAAGCATATACAACCAGATTATTGTAAAGTATGCGTACCAAGCATATGTCTGAATCCGACTACCCATCGATTCACAACATACCTTCAAAGACCCTATTCATCAATGTTATAAACAGAGATACTAGACCGAACTGTTGGTATAAACACCTTATTAGAAAACTTAAAATGCTGATATTATACAATTCACTTTTATAGATCAGCATTTCACTTCTATTTCACATGACCAGTATTCAACGATATCGCTCCCCGATATTTAAGCTAAAAAGCTATTTATGAACATGTAAATTAAAATATTCTAGTAACCTTTTTGCATCTATCAACATTAACTGTTTGAGGCTGAATACGACTACTCTTAGAACTCATTTGATCAAACAGTTTGTTTAACTGAATTAGTCAAATAAAATATTCTCCATAATTAAGCAACTTATCTTTGAAGAAGAAAAGTTCTGAATATAGAAACTTATACAGTATACAATTTATTCTTGTACGGATAATCGGTATCTAAAAACATATGCCTGAACCCTACCCTCCTGATAACGATTCACGACATTTCCCAACCAAAAAGACTGTTATGATAACTCACAGAGCCCCTTAATGGCATTTTGATCATTTCTAAATATGAATGAATGTTTTGAGTAGCAAACGAACATGTTTGCGATAACATATAGCTTACAAAAAATTCATTATGAATCTGTAGAATCCAAGTATCCTCTTGATAATAAAAGATATGAAAATACAAGAGTACAATTTTATTTGCAGGATATGAAGTATCCAAGGTGTATGCCTGAATCCAACCTTCCCGGTAACTATTCACAACAATAAATGTTTGTTCTAAATACAAATACGCGTTATTAGCTTGTAATTATGCTATACCAATATGGATCACCAATCAACGACATTTAACAATTCAATGACTTCTCAGTAACACAACTCGTTATTTGTTTGTCATGACTTACAACATTAAAATGCTTACGTTGCACAACTTTATACAAAAACTATAATTGTAATATCTATCTGTGTATATGCGCAACACAGAGTTCATTTGAAAAACGTTTGCTATAAAATAACATTTTAAAATTCTTTGCCCAACGCTGTTTTTTGCAAAATCCGAGGGAGCATATTTGCTATTACCATGTCTGAAACAACTTAACAATCCTAAAACCGTAACTCCGGTTTAAAATCTGCCACATATGAATAGGATGTTTGTTTGTATGGATCCCATCTCCCTAAAAACACCTAAAATGCGGTTTCTGCAAATCTTCGGAAAAAGTACCAGTTGCGTCGTCACCTAAATATCTGAATGATTTCAAAAACATGAACATTTGACAGTCAAGTTACAAATATCCAACGTATGTAGCAGTGTGGCGTCTCGCCCGTGACTGAACCATAGATCTTGCAATCTTTAGTGCTCCTGCACCTGTGACCAATCTAAATATTTTTAGCAAAACTTACAAACTCAGTATCCTTACATTAAAAAAAGGATATTTGATATGCTAAGCAAATCTGTTAAGGTTCAGCTGGAAAGTAACATTTTGGTAAAAAATTGCTATACCTGCACATGTTATTTTCTGGTACAGAATTAAGTATGAAGTCATGTGTGTATTTCCTTGCTTTTTTCAGGAAAGTATCATTACACTGTTTACTTTTATAATATCTGGAAACAGGTCAATGGTAGCTCCTGTGTTGTCTGGAAACTTTGAAAGAAAATTTGGAAAAATAGAAAGTGTGAAATATCAGAATTTTCTGGAGTTTCCATTGAACCCCTACCAGATATTCTAAAAGAAGACAATGTAATGATACTTTCCTGAAAAAAGCAAGGAAATTGACACATGCCTTCATACTTTATTTTGTACCAGAAAATAACATGTGCAGGTATAGCAATTTTTTACCAAAATGTTACTTTCCAGCTGTACCTTAACAACTACTTATCTTATTCATTGCGATAGCTGAACCCTCCTTGTTTAGCGTTACTCACAATCCAAACATTGGTCCTCAGCGTTGACTTTTTCTCATGCACCAGCGCACTTCTCGGGTAGCGTCGCATCTTTCGATGTTACTGAAACTCAAACGATCACATGGTCACTTTTCGGGTTTACATGTATAAAATCGTTTAAATCGTTTATGCAGAGCATTTTCATAAAAGGTCCAATTACTCTAACCAATCAACAATCTTTTCTATCTGAGGAACATCTCACGAAATTGTAATACTTGTTTCAATATAAACTACTTCTTACCCTTGCCAAATCGCTGATTTTCTTACTGCATCAGCATGAAAGATGAGTATCAATCCAATGTAGAAACACATTGACGGTATTGCAGTACATGCATCCTCTGTTCATCGTGTATAGGTATCAATATAAGCATATAACAAGGGCTAAATGATACAGACCGAATGCATCAAAAATAGACGCATCATGCTAAAACTGTGTATAAACGCTTCGGTTGCTACTCGCAGAATAACACGATCCCATCGTGTATCCACTCACATAACCTACTCATGATCACATCATGTTATCCAATCAGTTGAAATCGCGTTCGATTTCACTAACGCCAAGACGTTATATCAACCGGAAATAAAATAATTCAACTCTAATTTCAAACGTGTTGAATTTTAATTATTCCTGTACTTGAAATCTCAACTCATTGTTTCGTCAATCTTGCAGGGTAAGGGGAATATGATGACTCATTGGCTTATCGGAAAGAACAGAACCCCGAAGAGTTTAACTGTGGTTGATGTCCTACCACAATACGATGGCCCTATATGATGCCCGGACACACTTACATTGATGTCATCTTGCAATATGATTGAATGTGACAATGTGAATGACACAATACATTGAACTAATTTGTTACATTGCCACTATCAGAGAAGTTATATTCGCCTGAGCAAAATACAGTAACTTTGAAACACTATTCCAAATATAAAAGTAATTTAAAACGCTTCGGACGATTTTTGCAGTCGGTCAACTAAAAAAACAACTAATACTAACACACAAGCGTTTTAAATTGGTTTTAATTGAGTAAATACATGTATGTATGTATCTGTATCTTTGTAAATTGTATTAAAAGTAAATTGATTATCTTTTTTTGTCCTGCTGAACTGATGACACGACAATCATCTCTTTGAGAGCATTGTTTTTTATCAAGCCTCGTAGCTTGTTTCCAGCTTCAAGATCTAATAGGCCATGGTCTAAAAGTACATAAAACTGAACCCAGAAATATTTTTATGAATGTGAGAAGGTCTGAATAAACTATCATCTTAGAAAGAAGCATATTGACAACGAAATTAAATCTTTCAATTTATCTGGGCATTGTCACTTGGTCTTTATCCATTACTCATTAATGTTATCGATTATTTGAGATCTTTCTGAAATATAGCTTTATTATACTCAAATGAAAGGAAATTTAGAGTAGATTGCAAATATTGTATCGTTTTTGTAATTTGGGCCTCGTAAAATACTGTTGGTGCCATAGGCCCCGGGAACATGTATAAAATAGCGAGTCGACATCTGTATTACTACTTCTTCCACAGAAGAAGAAGTAGTAATACATATGTCGATACCTTCTCACAATACGCTGGGCCAACACGATACCTTGTCACAATACACTGGGCCTACACGATACCTTGTCACAATACATTGGGCTTACACGATACCTTGTCACAATACGCTGGGCCAACACGATACCTTGTCACAATACACTGGGCCTACACGATACCTTGTCACAATACGCTGGGCCTACACGATACCTTGTCACAAGACTTTGGGCCAACACGATACCTTGTCACAATACACTTGGCCTACACGATACCTTGTCACAATACACTGGGCCTACGCGATACCTTGTCACAATACACTGGGCCTACACGATACCTTGTCACCGAGACTTTGGGCCAACACGATACCTTGTCACAATACACTGGGCCTACACGATACCTTGTCACAATACACTGGGCCTACGCGATACCTTGTCACAATACACTGGGCCTACACCTTACCTTGTCACAATACATTGGGCTTTCACCATACCTTGTCACAATACATCGGGCCTAAACAATACCTTGTCACAATACATTAGGGTTACACGATACAGTGTCACAATACATTGGCCCTACACGATACCTTGTCACAATACACTGGCCCTACACGATACCTTGTCACAATACATCGGGCCTAAACAATACCTTGTCACAATACATTAGGGTTACACGATAACGTGTCACAATACACTGGCCCTACACGATACCTTGTCACAATACATCGGGCCTAAACAATACCTTGTCACAATACATTAGGGTTACACGATACTGTGTCACAATACACTGGGCCTACACGATACCTTGTCACAATACACTGGGCCTACATTATAACTAGTCATTTTCATAACAAGAATGATGTTATTCGTTACATATATAAATTGTATTTATAACATTGACATGTAAATGTAAAAAATAATTTGTTCTAGTAAGCCATTCGTTAATTTCAATGATTCCCCTGTCAGTGGTTTTTCTATGACGGCTCTTTTTCAAGATACCACATCATTATTTTGTATCTTCTAGAGCAGAGAAATAATAGCTCAAACCTCAATAAAAATTTGCAAGAACCGAGATTTTTGAGCTATCTAGATACCTTGCACTACCATTCTTTATCAAAAATGTCCCATTAGGTATATAAAATCCTTGTTCGGTCAATTCGTAATACAGTAAAACCTGTGTATATTGGACATTGTTTTCCGAGAAAAAACGTTCAGTATTGGAAGTATAGGTGTTCACTACAGAGAGGGTACTTTATATAATAATTAGTAGAGTATGTGCGGAGAAAGGTGTCCACCAGAGACAGGTGTTCATTAGAGAGAGGTGTTCACTAAAGCAAGTTTTACTGTATACTGACAATGTATTTGAGGTAAAGTGCACTGAAGAGTCTTAAATCTTACAGTTTGTCATTGTGAGTTTTCCTATCACGGACTCTTCTCTACTATGAGCCAATAGAATAACTTAATATTGAGTACTAGTTAGTTTCCAATTGCATATGAGCAAATATCAGTTTGCTAAGTTGAAATGTCAGGATCACATTATTAGGTATATGGGCTAACTGCATGGTGTACAGAAATTTGTGGTCAACATCAGAGCATTTTGTAAAACACCACATATGCTTGGTAAATCATAACACCCGGATTCTGTGTAGGGTTAGGATCAGTCCCATTAAACCAGCCATAGTATGTGATATTGTTAGGTGTAAAATTGTTGACGTGTTTGGATATGTCTACATTCCATGGTGAGACCTCCTGGCCATCACACCAGCCGCCACGTCCATACAGCCACGTTCCATGCTCATTTGGCTCAACCCCGCGAGGGACTTCTTTGGCACAGCCCAGTTGATCACCTGTAATCAAAACAACTATCTCTAAAACAATTCAAAACTCTAACAAAAACAATAAAATAATCAATCTATGGAAAAATAACCGTTGTTTTGTTTTTACATGTTATGATGAATAAAAGGTTTGAATGCAACTAAGTCAAACTTAACTCTGTGGATGGTTGATTTAAAAAAACATTTGTTCAAAAAGAAAAAGAACTGGCAGGTGGGCTAATACGTCAAAGCCTGGTTACCAGGCAAAAATGAATTCTCATTGGTCTTGTACAACTTTATCTTTTAAGATAATACAGAAAAGCATGCACATGTATTTGACATGTAAATGGCTAGCTACTTCAATTCTTTTGAATGGAAGACTTTTCAATGTAAACACATTAACATGCTCCCTGAAGCGTTATCTTAGACAGGGTTTACTGTGTACTAACAATAGTAATTGTTACCTGCATTATCAAATGATCTGTTGTAAGTGTGCTGAAAGTTGACAACAAAATGGTGAGATGAGATACAGAACTCCCCACATCCATTGTTATCACTGCCATGCCCTGTAATCACTGATACCAGTACAGTCTGAAATAACACATGATATAAAATTAGAAGAGCTTGGAATACCAGAAGGGAGAGTGGTCCATTAGGTGACCAATACAAAATGTCTTTGCTACTTTGAAAACAAGGCATTCACATAAATAATGTCACTACCTGCCATTTGTTACAGACAGCTAATGCCGAACGCCACACACCAAATGCCAAACCCTGAACACCATCTATAACAAAGTTTGAGAACAAAATGTTACCACTTGTGGTGGTGACATAAAAACTCATTTGATTAGTTAATTAGTCACTACATGTACTTGTACATGTGCCTCGGCTCCCAACATTTAACATGTAAAGCCTACCTTTTTAGTATCAGGAGGGACTTCAAAGGTACGTATAGGAAAGTCTTTATTGTAGTTCTTGTCAAATGTGTAGCTTGTAGGCCCATAGAGGTTAAATATACTGTCGGCATATAGGTCTCCTGGAATCAGAAAATTATAATTGTAAAAGCTTTCAAAATATCTTGTGTTTTAAGATTTGGTTCATAAAGTTATATCATTTATCAAGAAAGATGAAGAAAGACTGATTAACATCAAGAAAAGGGGGGGGGGGAATCTGCCTGTGTAAGGGAATCTACTAGCTTATGGTAGGGAAGAACAATAAGGTGCTATAGAAATCTACAACTTAAAAAGGACTTCCTTTGCTAATCTTCCTGACCAAAGACAGAATTTTGCCAACCAGCTTTGTTTTCATTTTAAGTGATGTTGAAGCAGGTGTTTAATCTTCCTTAATGGTGTTATGCACTTACAGTACTATAAATAATGTGTTTCCCTGATTATTAAGACATCCATTTGGATTTTATCAATATTAATATGGGCATAACTAAAATCATAATAAAATTGATTGTAACATGAAATATTAAAGCCGGGAGTTTGCATTCACACCATTGTTGCTCCAATCCAAATACCACTAAAGATACTTGTATAAATATGTGATTTGGGGATTAATTGTTCTTTAATTGCTGCATCCACTGCAAAATTATCATTGAAAAGCAACATAAAAAGCTCACCATATGAGCTAAAAATAAAGAGTTTTTGGCCAATACTGTAATATCAATATATTAACTACAATAAAATCTGTATATAGTGAAGTGTGCACTACAGAGGTTCACTGTAGCAGATGTTCACTACAAAGAGAGGATTTTATGCAAGAGTAAATGTACAGCAAAATGTGTCTTGAAGTGTATAGTGTTCACTAAACACAGGTGTTCACAAGAGAGAGGTGTTCACTAAGACAGGTTTTACTGTATTTTTAATTATATGTTATCAATATATAATTCCATCTGCCATTATTTTATTAATTTCCAGTAGTGCATTGTTTGTTGATAGTTGTTACTCCTCATTTTCAGCATGTTTATAGGAATGTGTGACAGTTAAATTATGACAAAAAGTGAATAATGATTTATATGGGTGAATGATTTGTATGGGAGGATGATTTGTATAGGTGAATAATTTGTATGGGTGAATGATTCGTATGAAAGAATGATTTGTATGGGTGAATGATTTGTATGGATGAATGATTTGTATGGATGAATGATTTGTATGGGTGAATGATTTGTATGGGATAATGATTTGTATGGAAGAATGATTTGTATGGGTAAATGATTGTATGGCATCATGATTTGTATGTGTGAATGATTTGTATGGGTGATTGATTTGTATGGGTGAATGATTTGTATGGGAGAATGATTTGTATGGGTGAATGATTTGAATGCAGAATGATTTGTTTGGGTGAATGATTTGTATGGGTGAAAAATTTGCATGGCAGAATGATTTGTATGGGTGAATTATTTGTATGGCAGAATGATTTGTATGGGTGAATGATTTGTATGGGAGAATGATTTGTATGGGTGAGGGATTTGTATGGGTGAATGATTTTACGGGAGAATGATTTGTACGGGAGAATGACTTGTACGGGAAAATGATTTGTATGGGTGAATGATTTGTATGGGTGAATGAATTGTATGGCAGAATGATTTGTATGGGTGAATGATTTGTATGGGTGAATGATTTGAATGCAGAATGATTTGTTTGGGTGAATGATTTGTATGGGTGAATTATTTGTATGGCAGAATGATTTGTATGGGTGAATGATTTGTATGGGAGAATGATTTGTATGGGTGAGGGATTTGTATGGCAGAATGATTTGTATGGGTGAATGATTTGTATGGGAGAATGATTTGTATGGGTGAGGGATTTGTATGGGTGAATGATTTTACGGGAGAATGATTTGTACGGGAGAATGATTTGTACGGGAGAATGATTTGTATGGGTGAATGATTTGTATGGGTGAATAATTTGTATGGCAGAATGATTTGTATGGGTGAATGATTTGTATGGGTGAATGATTTGAATGCAGAATGATTTGTTTGGGTGAATGATTTGTATGGGTGAATTATTTGTATGGCAGAATGATTTGTATGGGTGAATGATTTGTATGGGAGAATGATTTGTATGGGTGAGGGATTTGTATGGGTGAATGATTTTACGGGAGAATGATTTGTACGGGAGAATGATTTGTACGGGAGAATGATTTGTATGGGTGAATGATTTGTATGGGTGAATGATTTGAATGGCAGAATGATTTGTATGGGTGAATGATTTGTATGGGTGAATGATTTGAATGCAGAATGATTTGTTTGGGTGAATGATTTGTATGGGTGAATTATTTGTATGGCAGAATGATTTGTATGGGTGAATGATTTGTATGGGAGAATGATTTGTATGGGTGAGGGATTTGTATGGGTGAATGATTTTACGGGAGAATGATTTGTACGGGAGAATGATTTGTACGGGAGAATGATTTGTATGGGTGAATGATTTGTATGGGTGAATGATTTGTATGGCAGAATGATTTGTATGGGTGAATGATTTGTATGGGAGAATGATTTGTATGGGTGAATGATTTGTATGGGAGAATGATTTGTATGGGTGAATGATTTGTATGGGTGAATGATTTGTATGGGTGAATGATTTGTATGGGAGAATGATTTGTATGGGAGAATGATTTGTATGGGTGAATGATTTGTATGGGTGAATGATTTGTATGGGAGAATGATTTGTATTGGTGAATGATTTGTGTGGGTGGATGATTTGTATGGGAAAATTATTTGCATGGGTGAATGATTTGTATGGGTGAATGATTTGTATGGGAGAATGATTTGTATTGGTGAGGAATTTGTATGGGTGAGGGATTTGTATGGGTGAATGATTTGCATGGGTGAATGATTTGTATGTGTGAATGATTTGTATGGCAGAATGATTTGTATGGGTGAATGATTTGTATGGTTGAATCGAGTAATTCGTGACCATAATACTTGTGACTATAATTGCACTCCCATTTTTAGTCACTGATAATACCCTATCCTTTGATAAGACTTGAGTGCTTACCCTTTGCTGTCTTTCCCGTGAATCTAAGGTTGAGTGAGGGCACCCAGGTCATTGCCCATGGGGCAGTCTTTAGGGTGAACACACATGTATTTCCAGCAATCAATGGCAGCAGGGGTGATATATCGGTCAACCAGCGACCTATTCTCCTGGAAAGGATACATGTTGCAAAATAAGAAAGTACTCACACTGTTAATTAGAAATAAAGACATATTTGTACATCATGGAATTGCAAACAAAAAAGGTGTAAGAGTTTGCTGTAGACACTGAATTATGATGGTGAAAAACGGTCCAACTTTGTTCACTGGTCGGAAAAAATGATGGCCCAAACAATATCATGTTAGATATTAGTTATTTTAATAATATAGATGCTTAGGCCCCTTGAAATTAAACAGGCTGCTACACCAGGTTTTTATAAATACAGGTAACAATTTTTACTATTTAAAACTACAGCATACTGAATTTACAGGGTGGGCCAAAAAAAACCACCCCCCTAGCCAATATTCCCGATAAATATTTATTTTTTAAAAAGCACACCAACAATGATATATCATATTAAGGATAATTTAATTTGCAACAAAATGATATATAACAGCACCATTTTCAACAACCACATATAGAAATATAACCATTTATGTGACATGGGGGTCAAAAAACACGTTTTCAATTTTCATCGATTTTGCAAACAATTGCCTATTTCTTCCAAATTTTACTCTTCAGTAAAAAGTGCAACAATGTCAGGAGTCTTTCATAATTGTATATTATATCTTGTTTTCATTCAGTTTTTGAACCATGCATGATCAATATACATGTGTATGCATATAGAACTAATTCATTTCTTCTTCAGCCTGTCCAAATATGGCTCAATAGATCCACCCCCCGGATCCATCCTCTGATTGGATTATTCGCTTAAGACACGGAAACCATTGGTTGTTGGCATAATTGATCAATGTATGCGGAAGTACCATTCAACTGCTAGTTATTCTTTCTTTTAGTTCCTCTACATCCCTGATAGGTTGAGTATCTTTAAATACCAACTGTTCTAGATGCCCCCAGATATGGTAATCAACATTATTGGCATCTGGACTGTTAGTAAGCCATTTGTCCGGGCTCGAGATGGTGACATTTCGAATCTCCAAAAACTCCAGGGTAGCATTGGACCTGTGTGATGGAGCACTGTCCTATCAGAAAATGAAATTTCTTTCACATGTTTTTATATCCTTGAAGAGTCCTTTTTTAACATCTCATTTCATTAATATTCAGAGTATATTTTTGCTCCTGGTTCAACAAAAACAGAGCCTGTACGGTCTTTACTTTTTGGGAAACACCGAGTGGGCACCACTACCCTTTCAGAAAAATGTCGTCTCAATTTGAGTAGCCTTTTATCGCAAATGTCACTATTCTTGCTTACTGATATATAGAGTATCCTGTTGATTACATGTATAGTACTTTGGGCATTTAGAACAATTGGTCTATGAAGATCCCTAGTCAACCAGGAGTGTAGACAAACTGAAAGAATGAATAATTAGGAGTTGGATGGTACTTCCGCAAAGATCCATTAATTTTACCAATGGCTTTTGTGTCTTAAGCGAATAATCCGATCAGAAGGTGGGTTTTGGGTTGATTCTATTGAGCCATATTTGGACAGACTGAAGAAGAAATGAATTAGTTTTATAAGCATACACATGTATATTGATCATGCATGGTTCAAAAATTGAATGAAAACAATATATAATATACAATTATGAAAGACTCATGACAATGTTGCATTTTTTTACTGAACAGTAAAAGGTTGAAGCAGGCATTTGTTCGCAAAATCGATGAAAATTGAAAAGGTGTTTTTTTACCCCCATGTCACCTAAATGGTTATATCTCAAGCCAGGGTTGCTGAAAATTGTTCTATTATATATCATTTTGTTGCAAATTAAATTATCTTTAAAATGATACATCATTGTTGGTGTGTATGTTAAAAAGTAAATATTTATCAGGAATATTGGCTAGGGGGGTGGTTTTTTTTGGCCCACCCTGTAGGATTAACAAATGAATTTCTGAATCTCTAGATCTGGTTGTCTAGTTGTTTCAGAACAGAAAATCTAGTTTTTATGGACTCTTCAGGTAAGATTCCCCATTATAATAAAATTATAATATACAGTACAGTGATATTTTGCAGTGAATGGCAGCAAGTGATATTTTGCAGTGCATAAGAATAAGTGATACAATGCAGTGCATAAGAGGAAGTGATATTTTGCATTGCATAACAGCTGGTTATAACGGTACCTTCTGAATGGAGTGATCCACCTGCCCAGCTCAACTCCATCCCCCACAACACAACCTGGTAGGCAACATGCATACAGATTGACAGTGTGATCCCAATGAGGACAGTCTGTATCCAAATGACCAGGGCAGGATAATGCCAAATCTAGCTCAAACTTGGAATATTGTTGAAGTTCTGAAATTTAGGAACAACACAATTGTATATACATAATCTATAATTTATGCAGTACGTGGATATTCAAAATTTTGGTCCCAATGGTCATTTATATAGAAAATGAATATTTAGCATCCATCGATAAAAACCAGACATTCAAAGATTGCTCATAATAGTAAGCCCAAAGGGAATGCCAATAACATGAAATTTCGGAATTCCATTCTTGTTTACATTGTATTGATAAACACTTACATAGAGAGCTTCAGTCTAGGTACATGTAACTTGATTTTAATATTTTTTTCAATGAGTGGCCAATAGTGGTCAATAGATTATTGCACATAATAGACAGAATACCTTTAGCTGGTGGTAGATCTAGCTTAATAGAAACTCCTTTTCCTTGCATCATTGTATGATTACATACATTGATCACCAATGCCTTCTCTGATAAGTTCTTCTTCAATTCTGTCACATAATTAAACCTGAAATAATTGAAACACATTTATTTACAATATAAATTGATTTGATATTTCACCTTTTTAGTAAAAATTCATATTTCTCTAAGTTTCTTTTTCTCTTATTCATGTATGTCAGTGAATTGCTGCCACATTGTTGATATACGTATGTACATACACATGTATATAACAGTACACATACATGTAGTTGCCGCTATTTCACGGATTATTGTAAGTGACTGTGTGTTATCTCATTGAGTGGATTCTTACCACTGAGCTTGGTAGACAAGGAAGGAGAAAGATGGATACAGGAACCAGCCCACCTCTGCCAGGTTGCCCTCTCCATCAATACCAAAGAAGAAATTGTCAGAGGGGGTAGTCTGGTACGTTACATTTACTTTTTGACTGAAAATAAAAAATTATACAAGTTTAATGAAAAATTTGAATCGTACAGTTGACAGTTTGAAGACAAGACAAATGTATTAAGCCAGGTGTTCAAATATTTTCGGCAAACACTTTTTGGAGCCACTTATCGGTGAATTTGGTGAAAACTTTTCCTTTGCTTAATTTCTGCCAAATTTGCTTAAATTTTGCCTTTGCTTAATGTTTTGGCAAATTTGCTTAATTTTTGCAAGTTTGCTGAAGAGATTTATCTTTGCCAAACAATTAATTGCAAAAGTAAAATCATAGGTGAAATATCCTGGTTTTTGACCAATTTCGTTCATTTAGAACATAAGGGCAAAAATCTAGGACCTTTTTCAACAAAGGCTTATTTAAATCCCTTTAACATGTTTAAATTCTCTGTTTTAACCACTTTCTGGATAAGTCAGAAAAAATCCAAAAATAAATACTTCAAGACTTATTTATTTTTAGTAAATATCATGATATTATATTGTGAGTGATCTTTATACTTGCTGTGTAGTCTAATTACGGCATTAAAAAGTAAGAACATTTTAAGTATGAGTTTTCTAGCATTCAGAACTTTGGTGCATTATGTGCATTGCATTACTGCACTTACACATGTTCAAAAGTTATATGCGTTATACATGTACCTAATCAAAAAACGATAAATTACTGAAATACTACAAGAAATTAATTTTGGGGGGGGGGGTTCGCACGAACCTCGGGACCCCCTCTCCCTATGGCCCTGATACTTGTGCCATTATGTGGTCTTGCCTGAACCAATCATTGATTAGTTGGATGTTTGGTTTTATCAAGTACGGTATTAACAATTTGTGTCTACTTATAATTATGAGGGTTGTCCAATATAGTAGTCCAATATATAGTCAAATATATAAAGAAATGTAACATAAGAAATTCAATTTACCCGATTGTTAAAAATGAAACATAAGGAATGATAGTTCCAGGAATTCCAATTGAGCCACATTTGTTGCCATAACAATCTAATTCCTCCAAACCCTCATTTTTCCCTTGCATCACAATGACCGCAACTGCACCTGATGCCTGCATTGTTTCCATCTTAAAATAAAACAATATTACATTATTATGGGGGATCACTTGAGTTTAATAATATAATATTTAGTTACTGAAATACTGTGTACAAATGAGTAGTTTTGCATATCTTTGTAAAAAGAAGCACCATATTTGAGGTGTCATGTTTGATTCAAACACTGCATAAAATAAATTTGAATGCAATGCATTAGTGCTACACAAAATGTTTTATCTATATACCTAGATTTGTAACCTGAATGGACTCCTGCCTTCCATCAACCCTCTGTACTCCTCACAATTTTCTCTATACATCTGTGTTAGACTGAGAATTTGGATGGGGATACAGGGGCTCAATTCTAGATTAAATCAATTCTGGCATTACTTACTATGTTGAATTGAGTACAATCTCCCCAGGCCTTATCAACTATGGCAATCATATTCTTCACCTTATCTGTTTTGTTACAGCCAAATCCAACATAAACTCCTGGGATGGAGTCACTTTTAACCTTCGATAGTGGGCTGGGCAACCAATCGTATCTCCCATCTATCCTTTTTACAATATTTTCTGGACCAGTAACTTTTTCATCTATAAAATCATTAAATAAAAAATAATCTTGAGAAAAATGTTACCTGACTTACAGGGTGACACAAAAAATGCCACCACATATGCATAATATAATGTTGCATAAATTCTACATGATTTCTGAGTTACTCTTTTGCACATTAAATAACTAGACTCAATGTAGCAACTCTAAAGGAAGTTTCAAGTGACTAGCTCACCTAGATGCACTTTTATGAGCATTAAAAGATTTGCTTTAAATCACATTAGAAAAACTCCTTCATGTCCTTCTTAATTTACCTTCTGATGTTATCTTCAGTTGATAATATCCACAGTTATGGTCTTGACAGGCCCATAACTTCACCAATGCAGGAATCCAATTACCCAATTGATATGTGTTTAGTGTAACAAAATGAATACGGCCATAAATTTGAAAGAGGACATCTTTATCAATCCTGAAAATCAAAATCAAATTCTTCTTTATAGTATGCTAAATATACATGTAAATGCGTGGTCTTACTTACCATCAATATACTATAGAGTAATGATAATAATGACAAAATCTATACATGTAATGATAGCTAGAGATGTCTATGATGATAGCGAGAGATCTAATTTTGCTAAAAAATATGTTTTGAGATCCTGCTGCTTGTCACGAAATGTAGCTGATGGCATACATGTACATGTGCTGTATGTACATGTATACATGTACAGTACATGTACATGTATGTATCCATGAACACATAAATGTAAAATGATGCTTTTGTGAAAAAGCTGCTTTTGTTCAAGTTCTACCAGTTCTGAAAATATACACTATAAGACATATTGTTTATTCTTTACCTATTATTCAATACTAGATTCTTTCCTACTCCATGTAGTTTAGATTTGGCATTAAGAATCGCAGATTCCAAAGATTCAAAAGGGCTGTAGTCGTTAAAGATAAAGAAGTAATGGGTATTGCTTGGTCCATTTTCGAGTAAGTATGTTATAGCATCTGTTCCCCAAAGTACCTCCAGAAAACCAGATCTGCTATCTTTGAAATTAAATAGAATGGGTGTCGTACGATTGATCATTGGTCCGGGATAAACTAGATTGCTCCCAGAGAGTCCAATATCCAAAGCAGTTGTTGTGTAGATAGAAAATGACAAAGCTGGATCACCAGGGTTAAAGTTATAAGGAGCTGCATCTCGAAAATTAACATATTTTATTCTATCTACCATCTTTTGTTCAAATGTCATATTTTCCTCAGCAACTTGTCTCTTTTTGTTGTTCATGTCAAAACCAACAAAGTGAAGTCGGTTTGGAGTTTCTCTGTGATCATTATAATGCTGTGGCTGATCAGTCAAAATATCGTTTTTTCTGTGATTTAAAACATTTACGTATCCGTTTGTGTTACTGAGACACAATGTTAAGATGTAAAGAACGAGTATTTTATATATGATGTTGGAGAAACAACTTATCCCGTTTCTCTTTTTCACTTCCATTTTGACAAATCATGTGACTGATCATGTGATCAATTTTGCCGTCAACCACACCGGAAGTTGATTTATTGAAAAATTGAAAAAAGTAATATTGAAACTGATTGAAAAACTTTAATTCTAGCAAAGATGAGTATGTTTGGCAAAGTTGAATTCGACGAAGCATGCAAGGAACTCGATGAGCCTCAAATAGAAGACTACGAATTCTTCACCGAGTCACACGATGTCCGAATTTATAGGCTATATAATGATGTGAGTTTAGATTTTATTTATTTGAAGATTCGTTCTACAGTTCGGGACATAAATAAATGACAGGTGGATTTGCTGAAGTGAGAATTTCCCATGTTAAAAATAAGAGAATTTTCAAGAGGCCATACATCAGTGGATGAGATTATACAAAATGTGAAATATACAAATTTTAAGGGATATGTATCTAGACAATATTGGAAATTATGGGCTTTCAGATGACCATAATTACAGTGGGGGGCATAAAGAATTACAAAACCTACGGAAATTACATGTTGTCGCATATGTAATAAATTCTTACCTCAGTGTATTCAGTGCTCTATTTTCTCCGTCATAGTAAGTCCAGATATAGTGGAATTTGTGTCCATAATGACAAATAAGAACTTAAAAATTTGATGTGGAATTCACATGTTAATGCCGACTCTTCAAATGTTGAGGTGATTTTGGAGCCAGATTACGCCGCAATGTGGGTTGGCTCCCAGAATGCAACATGACACGTGTCAGCTTTCAAAATGCCATTCCGCCGTTTTGAAATACGTCACGAATAAATAAGGTTACTTGATGTTGCATTCTGGGAGTCAATCCTCCTTGGATCACAAACATGGCGATTCATGAAAACATTAGTCCGATTTGGTAGGGATTTATCCATCATTTACAGGTATGAGGCTTTGGATTCATTTATTGTGCTACTTAAAGTGGATGGGAATTATTTTTCTACCACTTGGGAGAGTTTGAGAGATGAAACTTAGAATTTAGCTCATTGTGACAACTTTTGAGGGTTGAGATTTATTTTTGTCCCCCACCTTAGGAAATGGTGATCGAAAATCGACCTGTCATTTATTTTTGTCCCCAACTGTATCTTCATGGAACTTATATATAACCTATACCTTATATACTGGCTATTTAAGATAGGTTACACTTAAATAAATGAATGAATAAATAAATAAATAAATAAATATATACCATACTTTATACCAATGATTCTGGAAGAAGAATATATCCGAGGGGAGTAGCGATCAAATGTCAATAGGGGTGCAAATGTTCGGGTTTGCATTACTGAGAGCGAAGTGGGTTCCAAAAAGGTGGGTGTCCAGTCCACACGCACTTGAGTCAGCGTTCCTTTCGAAACTTAGTTACCTGTTTTATTTCCCGATTGTCACCTTATTACATGCAGCTCATCTTGGTTACTTGAGTCTCTACATGTACATGTACCGTAGCTTACAGCTAGATGTGACTTCATTGATTTCATATGTAGCAATAATAATTCTGATAAAGGGGCCTATAAATATTCATAAGAATATTTATTATATTTAAGTTGAAGCGTTGCTATAGTCTGGATTAAGATATTTCAAAATTTTATTTTGGAAGGAACCTCAAATTCATTTATACAGCTCAGTCGCAATCAGCAGAAAAATGGAGGCCATTTTGAAATGAAATTCTACTTAGCTATATTATAATATATATAACAATCGATTAAGACAGGGATTTGAGCTGATATTCTGCAAATATATGCATAAAGGTACATGTATGTTTCATATAATTATGCCGTAACAACTGTGTGTGTGTCCAACCATTCCGCAATTTGTGTGTTTGTCACGCATTTGCTGAAGAAATTGAAATCATGCCCAGTTTTTTTTGCATGACAGAATTTGTCATGTGTGACAGAATATGTCACGCAAATACACATTTTTCTGATTATTGTCAAGCAAAAATGTTCAAGAAGAACATTTGCTCAATGAGTTTTCTTGTCTGTCCATTATCTTCATTAGTCATGGCTTATGAAGGTGCACAAATGCATTCGTAACAGTATTGTCTTAATTAAAAGTTGGACATTACATACATACGGTAGATGTTGCCGATTTAAAGATGGCAGCACCAAACTCAAGAGAATTATAAATAAACACAATATCCTTATGTCACAACCAAAAAGTGGTGACATATTGTTATGGTATTCCATTTTTTTATGGCGGTCTGTGGTTGGGATTCGGTGGTTGGCGATCAGCGTCTGTAACAAAGTCTTACAACTTCCAATAACTTTACAAATACTGTTTAACTGACTTCATTTTTTTCAAAATTATCTACATTTATTTAAGTTATCAGAAGTTCAAATCTGACTTCAGATTTGATCTTCTCAAGGTCAAAAAAAGTCAAAAGGTCTTTTTTCAACTTGCTTCAAATTGACCATTTTTATCAAAATCATCTCCAAGTTCTCGAAAGTTCAAATCGGACTATAGGTTTGACCTTCAATAACCTTCTCAAGGTCCACAAGGCCTTTTTTCATTTTGCTTCAAATTGAACAATCTTTTATTTCAAAATCTACAAATTCTCAGAAGTTCTGACTTTAGATTCGAGATTTCACCTTCAATGATCTTCTCAGGGTCAAAAAAGGTATTTTTTCAACTTGCTTCAAATTGACCAATTTGTTTTTTCAAAATCATCTACAAGTTCTCAGAAATTCAAATCTGACTTAAGATTGAACTCATTATATTGTGAGCAACTAGCTGTGGTGACATTTTGTCATATAAATGCCTTGTTTAAAAATTATTTCTATCGACTACATGTAAGTTATGATAAAAAACATACCCCTCCAAATGTTCAGTTGTTGATCCTTTGTGATCCATGTTACTATTGTAGATTTTCTTCTAAACAGTCGTACAACTGTACACTATTGGAAAACATTCAGACATCAAATGCATGTTCTTTATCTTTATTTGAATAGCATCATTATCGTTGTTTAAGTAGTTTTCTTGATGTGTTGTGATGCATTTCCAGCAATCAGGATTGTATACTTACAAGATATATGGATTTATGAAGGATGTAGAGCCAGATATATGTGCTCAGGTTTATATGGACTTGGAGTATAGGAAGACATGGGACACTTATGCTAAAGGTATCAGAAAATTAATTAATAAGCATGTTTGAAACCATGATTGCTTCCCAGTGAATAAACACCAGGGAACATAATTGATTTTGAAAAATCATATTCACCTGGTTGTCTTTTTCTAGGGAAATAGATAAGGAATAGACTATTTTGAATCATAATGTCTGAAAAAATTGTATTGAAATATGGAAAAAAACTTAATCGTATTGACTGTAAAAAGTGTATTTCATCATGTTCATTTGTCTTTACAATTTAATGGAACAAACAGATTATTTCTACTTGGGGTGATATTGATTTTCTGAGACAGTATCATATTAAACTGTCCTTAAAGCATTCATACACAATTGCATGATTGCCAATGGTGCATCTCAAAAGTTCAATGTAGATAGTCCATGGTATGAAATCTCTAGGACGTCTAATAAAGGAGTTGGTAGCACACTATAGCGCAGCGATATTTGACCTTACATTAACATACCTACATATGTCCCCTAATAATTTTTATTATAACCGTTCAATATACTTCCGGCTTTTAGGCTGAATTATGCCTGCCATTAACAGAGGTCAAAAAATCACCAAAAAATAAAATCCCAATTTTTCACAATTTGGAGTACTCAATGCAACAGAAAATCATAAAAAATGATTTTAAATATATGATTTATGTTTCTAAGCTATAAGTTTGAGGTTATTTTTCTTATCAACACCAAAAATATGTAATCAGTGTATCGACGTTTTGTTTTGTTTCTGATGTATTAATAAGATAAATGCTACAAATGAATCACTTTTATATTGATATGACAAATGTTTAAATTATGCTAGTTTTTTTTACAAAGGGGTCTCAATACGTTTTGAGATATGAACCTTTATTCAGCGGTGAAAATTATCAATAAAGGCGGGCCTATTGCTCTTCCTTGCCTAATTGGGACTACAGCTAAAATTCTTTTTCCCGTAGTTAGATATAGCTCAGTTGCTTATAAAACAACCATCAAGACTTGATCAAATTCATGAATATTTGAGAAAAATCGTTATCATTATCTTCCTAAAATCTGATTGTATCCAGCGGTAATGTCAAAAAACAAACAGCCATCAGAAAACTTGATGATAGCCACAAGTAACGTCGAGGAAGAATTTCAGGGCGTTCGATTGCATATGACTCTAATTGATTATTAGACATGCCCTTGGAATATATGAACATTCAAATACATCTGCAACATAAAATTAGATATAAATCTTACCTATTTGTTATTGTATTATGTTTTGTAAAACATTAACAATAATTTGTTGTTAGACCCCTTGCGATTATATGGAAAAATTCTGGTAATAAAATGTTTTAAATGGTAAGAAAACTAATATGTTCCCAATCATAAATTACCTAAATATTCCACATAATTTTGTTGAATCGGCTTGGCTCATATTTGAAAAATCAAACCAAATCTGAAAAACACACTTGCATAATTACACTAATTAAACATCGATATCTACGGTAAAATTAAATAGAATATTTTTAAATTATGATAATTTATTTTTGTTCGTATGCTAAGAATAACGGTCTGTGTCTTATAAAATGTATAAAAGTTCGAATCAAAATATTTACGTTTTTTGACCCCTTGTGATGAAAGAGATTTTTCGACCCGAAAGCCGGAAGTTTTTTCAGCAAATGGTATTTTAAAAGAATCAAGACATGTACACCTTCATAAATATTGCTTCAAATGTTGCTGCGCTAGAGTGTGCTACAGATCCTTCATATTCGGAAGTCATACCATGGACTAAGAGTTACAAAGAGTATTTGAACAGTCAATCTGTGACCCCCTCCCCTCATAACTGTATTTGAAAAATGTTGGTACTACTGTATATCTTACATAATATCTCCTACTAACAGTCAAATTTTATAATTATTCCAATCTGTAATTTTGTACAGTGTCAGCATTAAATTATATTTTGTATTGTATCTTACTGTATAATCCTGAGTTGACATTATATCCAACAAAATTTGCACTACCAGGATTTGTGAACAATGTCGGAAAGCTTACTTTTAAGGCTAATGAACCCCCTTACTGTTCAAATACAGTTATAATTCTCCAACATTTATCTTTTGAAAAGCTCTCTAATGATACTGTTAATGTGCTATTTACAGAACTGAGGGAGGTCCAAGAAGGGGACAAAGAAGGAATATACTGGCAGGTCAACTACCCAAGCTACCTCTTCATGTCAAATAGAGATGTATCCTTAATATTACACAAGACTAGACTTGCATGCAAATATAAAATTAATGAAAATGAAGTCAAGAAATAGCAAATATATGACATGAAAGGTATACATTTAGATACATGTGTATTAATATACAGCCTGGTATATTTTAGTACCCCAAATGAGTTAAGATGATATTGTTCAGATATAATTTGTGAATTATTTCAGCATTTATTTGAATTCTTTATTCACAATGGTAATATTAAAAATGAACAAGGCATTAACATGCAAAATGTCACCACTTGCCATTTTATACAGACACCAAACAACAACCATCAAACACCAACCCCCAAATACCGTACTCAAAAAGTTGGAGACTATAACAATATGTCACCACTTCTGGTGGTGACTTAAAACCAAAGGTTACTCTCCAATTTACACTTGGTCTGTTATGATTCTAAGCTGTCTTTCCATCATATAGGAAGAGCATTAAATTGAATGATTAATTGATAAATTTCTTTTTTTCCAAATGGGTGAGAGAAACATTAATTTATTCCTGGGCTGTATATTATCAGATCATCCATTTTATACCCTTCCATCTCTAACCTATATCAACTATATCCTGATATACCTACATGTAGAACATTTGTGCAGATAAAACACACAAACTAATCAGTATACCAGTTATTTTCTTGACCTTCATCAGTATGTATACATGCGGCAATACAGGGTGATAGAGAAAGATGGGAAGACGATCCACTGTGTTTTAACAAGAAGTGAACCATTTGGTAATGAGCCTGAGAGAAGTGGGGTCATCAGAGTGGATGACTATCTGTCCTACTCTGCATTAACAAGTGATGGTCAGGGAGGTACAAAAGGTATGGAATGTACATTAGTTGATACTTATTAATGGGTTTAAGTTCAAGACTCAATGAATTGAATGCAATTTTAAGCATGAGGGCCTTGTATGAAACTTTGAGTGAGAGAGATACATTATTGAAAGACTAAGATTTAAGGCACGAATGCATTAAATCACCCACAATTCCCTAAATCATGTGGTTAACTTATTTTCGCACATTGCAAAATTATCTTGTACAATATGAAGAATAAAATTCAACCAGAAACTTTTTTGCAAGGATTTTTGAGAACCCAGTTGTCTACACTATTTATGATTTTCTCATATGACTAAGCGAGATACAACCATCTTAAGATATTGCATGGGGTAAAGACGAGAATATAATGGCTAGCTATGTGTGAATGAAATATGAAAGTTTGATATCTCCTTCAATGTTCCAGCGGTCTAATATTATGATTTGGTCTCTTTAGTGGAGAAAAACACCAGATTCAAACAATTGAATTATACATAGAAAACTTATATTTTTTATCACCAAATATTTTTTTCAGCATTCATGAAATACTATGACAATCCCAAGGGCAACATTCCTACCATGCTAATAAATTGGGCTGCCAAGGTATACTATCTTGTAGATCATAATGAGTATTGTGAGCATTTTAGTACTATTTAGCATTCGAGTTACATTAAAAGTGAAAGTCGAATGATCATCATTGTCAAATGTTAAAAGGCATTTGGTGAGGGTGCAGAAATAATTCTGGAACAATATTCACAATTTTACAATATGCTTGTTTTAATATCACCCTATTCATCTTTATGCTTTTCTAAAATTCATTTCAGACTGGAGTTCCAGGGTTTCTGAGTCAAATGCAGACAGCTTGTAAAGGCTACCCAAAGTACCTTCAGTCAAAACAGACAACCTAACATTGCTTCTCTAGGGGAGACTGTAATAAATTGCAACAGGTATTTTTGCATACTTCTGTATATGGTATTTTTGCATACTTCTGTATATGGTATTTCAACATTTCTTCATGAGTGTATACACGACAGGATAGTTAAGCAAAGTATTAAAGATCCCTACCTATATTATCCCACCCAAGGATTAAAATGATATCCTTCATATTATAGAGTATCCTCTAAATATTCATCACACACATGTACACTTTTACTTGACACCTCAATTTACATGTAGACTTTCTTAAATTGTAGATTATGGAAGAGATTGAGATCTGATTCCAAGCAGGACATTGACGCAACAAATCCTACAAAAAGACAATTAAAAATAGAATTTGTATCCACTCCATTGACCCCCATTTATGTAAGGCACCATCTTATGTTGTAAGGTAAGACTAGGATAAGTCTTAAGTCAGAAACAATCATGCTTACGAAAAGGACATTATATAACTTAAAGTTAAAAATTAACTGTCTTATTGGACACAACATGTACAACTTGCATGTGACTGGATAAACCTTGTACTTTAAGCTGCTATGTAATAGTCAGATGGACTTTTAATTAATTGTCTTATTGGACACAACACGTACAGTGCATGTGACTGGATAAACCTTGTACTTAAAGCTGCTATGCCATAGTCAGATGGACTTTTTAATTAATTGTCTTATTGGACAACACGTACAGTGCATGTGACTGGATAAACCTTGTACTTAAAGCTGCTATGCCATAGTCAGATGGACTTTTAATTAATTGTCTTATTGGACACAACATGTACAACTTGCATGTTACTGGATAAACCTTGTACTTAGAGCTGCTATGCAATAGTCAGATGGACTTTTAATTAATTGTCTTATTGGGACACAACACGTACAGCGCATGTGACTGGATAAACCTTGTACTTAAAGCTGCTATGCAATAGTCAGATGGACTTTTGATTAATTGTCTTATTGGACACAACATGTACAGTGCATGTGACTGCTGGATACACCTTGTATTTAAAGCTACTATGCAATAGCCAGATGGACTTTTAACACAATTACTTTCTCGGAAGGTATGATAATTGTCCCCTAACTTGGTGGATCAACAGAGCATTCAATTTTAGCCGATCACTTCTTTAAGCTGAAAAATCTCATACATAAGTTTGTGGTCTGATCTACACATGATGAAAAACAAAATGAAAGCAAACTTTTCTTTTGGCAAATAAATATTATTTGCCAAAATCTAGAATCCAGGGTAGGAAAAATGAGGACCTAGGGTCTGAGAAAAGCAAAGGCATGCAGTTGAACTGGCTATTTGTAATGATAAGTTGATAACATGACCAAAAGTCATGTGATTATATCATCAAAAATTTCCGCTTCCCTGTTTTGGCTTGTATTGTATTTATCTTAAAATTGACTTTTATTGACCTAATACAAACCAAGGCTTTGGTATAGATGTATTTATTTACCCAGTGCTTGATCTTGTTACTCAATTTAGGGTGAAAAAGGTCAAAATAATTGATGCCTAGCCACTTTATAGGGAACTGTATTTTGAGCCATCTTGATCAAAATGAATGTTTATTAAAACTATATGACTGGGATGTAGTTATGCATTTGGTATGATTGCCAGTAAAGTAACTAGCTATTTAAAACATGGTAATGTGACTAGAAAATCCTAGAGTTTTTAAGGTTTTTAGAAGAGGAATTTTTCACCATAAATTGAGTTTACATACCAACATAATTTACATACCAATTAAAGGATATGATCTTTTGTAATTTTTTCTCATAAAATAAAGACACACCTTAATAAGAAAGAGACAAGACAATGGACTAATTTGGGTTTTAATTTGTTATCCTAATTGTTATTTATTAGTATTCCGTTTAATATACAGTTTACAAAATGTGTATGTTTTACATTTATACAGTTAATATACATATGTTTACATTGTTCTTAAAAATGATACTCATTGAAAATATTGTGGCTCTCAATTTTATATATTACAATACATTTTATGATAATGTTCAATTAGTACATTTACAGGGTGTCAGTGTAGGAAGACATTGTATCAGCAGTTTTCACTATTTATTACATTTGTACAACATTATATCTGCAGAGCAAAATAATATAATTTACATTCGCATTTATTTACATTATGTTCTCAGATTGCTCATTGGATTAACATTAAACCAATTAATCCCACAAGCATTAAAAATAAATAGATACAAATAAAAATTGCAAAATATCAAAACATTGCTTTTTTCTTGAATGTTCCATGATTGAGATGAACAACAAGAATTTTAATTGAACATAAAACCCTCTTGGAACTTCAAGCAAGATTTTTCTTAAACACATCCAAAAGGTGACTTGTTCATCCAATATGACCAAATGCCAGTTGCAGTGCTAAGAAAATTCGAAAATACGAAAAGGGCTTTATCATGGACAAGGGGGTTTTATGATATTCAAATTATGCAATAAAATGTCGTTTTCATTCATTTACATTAATTTGGAATTTTTAAAATTTTAGGCCAACCAACAATAAATTCAAATTTTGATCATATATGACCACTACCACATTTATGCCTACAACAATCATATATATGGTAATGATAATATATAGATATAAAGATGTTCATAACAAGTAAAAAATTTACTGAATATATGACAACTTGCACATCTATGCCTACAGCAGTCCTATATAGGTTAGTCATCATATATTGTACTGTAGATATAAACATGTTTATTTAACAACTAAATAATTTACATAATATATGACAACTGGCATATTTATGCCTAAAACAATCATATATATGTTAATTATCATATATTGTTTATATCAATATATTTTTAATAACTACACTATAACCATGATATTGCACTGGTATATTTTGATTCATCAGGTTATCTTGCATACCACTAACAATAAATTATATTAGCTTAAATATTATTTTTATGGCATCTCAAAAATTGTGATCAACCTTGGCAAAGGAAGTCCCCATTTTTTCATGCACCATGTTTTATTGTTGAATGACAGATTCAACAAGCACATCCCCTGTTCAAAATCTAATCTATTAATATACTATTCTAGGATAACATTTATTCTTGTTCGTGCATGTGACTCAAGTGCTTATATTATTGCCGCTTAGTGAATAATGTGTATGTGTGCTTTATTCACACTATTTGTGTAGCACATCTCCTGAGTATAATATTTTCATAACAGCCGCGTCAAGCCATTTTTGAATTAATGTAATTATTTTAGCTCACATGGTGAGCTATTGCTATTTAAACACATTGTTTCATGAACATTTCATGTTATGTCATTTGTGAACTTATTTCCTAATCTCATTTTGCATCATTTAATCTCACTACTTTTCAAATACTGCAATAGTTGTCTATGTTGACATAAGTCTGTGTTGAGCAAATGTGGCACATAGTAATATTATTGACTCAGTAGACTGAGCAACAATTTATTACTCATGCTGGTCATGTTGTTGGTTTTAGAAATATTCTTCATGAAGCTGTGGACGTGGTATCTGATAGCTTCGTTCAGTTGGTTCCACATAGTCTATACTAGACCGACGTCCTGAGGGCCCAGGGCCCATTGCATCTTCAGCTTCACCTGATATTCTTTCTTGTTCATAGAAAAATCTTTCTTGTATATTGTCCTCACTATGGCTGCGTTGCTGTAAACAAAGTTAAAATCATTTATAGAAACATAAATATCTAATTGTTTATGCAGATACTTATATGTCGAAAATATTATGAAGGATTGGTGCTGTGTACACAGTGAAATATGACCCCATAATTTAAGCAGTTTGATGGTGAAATAGTTTGCTCAGCTTTGTGGCTTAGAACCAATAATTGTTTCATGACAGGCCAAGTATGCATAGGCATACTGTTATTAGCAGCCAATGGAATTATATTTTGAAATAATGATCTTGACAGAAAAGATGGTACAATCTCATTTTTCTTTTTTGGTGTGTAAGGTGCATGTACACTGTATGCCATCTGAATTCAATCACACTTGATTGTCACTTTTTCAATTTTCATTTTCGATAAAATTCAGTACTTACTAGGTTTGAAGGCCCAGTTGGCAAGCTGATTGGTCTACCAAAGAAACTAGAGCCCCTACTGTATGAACTCCTTCCATCTGAAGTAGTGGCATATCTTGAACCGAGTGTCATGAATGGTTCAAGGCCTCTTGACCGACTAGTTGGACCTGGTATAAGTTGGGGCAGCTGAAAACAAAATTTTCTCATGTTAATGATGCCATTGTGCATGATTTGTAATGGTATTGGTACTTTGCTTTAATAAAATTAAGATTTAAAAAACTAATTGATGTGGCACTTACATAGATGGGTCTATCTCTAAACTGGTCTACAGCTTCAGCAACCTGACTTAGTGGCACTTCTCCAGTAAGAGCAGGTTGAGTAGGCCTATTTTTATATGATCCTGCCTCGCTCAGGTACCCATCATTATCAAATGCAACCTCATTGAATATTGGTTGTCTAAAGTCTGTATTGCGTTGATACAGGTATCGTTTCTGGAGTTGTTTCCTGCGTTGGAATCTCTTGTAGTACATAGAGCAACACACTGTACAGCCAAGGATTAGCATGATTAGAGCAAACCCGCCAGATATTGCTATAACAATGATCTGCCACTCAAGAAGTCCTGAAAAATATAAAAAGGTCCATGTTGATAATGTAAGGATTAATCTCAGTATACTGACAGTACGCTCAGTATGCATTTTCTTTTTGTTGAATTGTTTCCTTATTTTGTATCAATAAACAAAATGTCTATATTTTATAACACTGGTCAGATCTATTTAAACAAAAATGAAAATAAGGTTTATTACTAATTATTTTAACATATTTTACATACATACATAAAAAGTTCTTACCATTACTTAGTACTTGAATTGCACATGTTTCACCAATAAAACCATCCTTGCATCTGGAAGTATAGAATAAAAGCAATATATCTTTTGCAAATGATATAATACTGCAGATGAATAATTTTTTTTTAATCCATAGTCATTATATTTGGTGTTTATAAAGTGTTTATCTGATTTTGTGTTCATGGTTTTGTTGCAGTTGAAAATGAAGTGTATTCAATTTGGTATAAAGTGATCCTTGAAGTAATACTAAAATTTGGTGTCTTTGCGTTAGATATTATTTGATTCAGGAGGTCTTTTGCATCGAAAATTGGGCATTTAGGGCATTGTTAAAACATTGAGACTTCACTTACATACACTCCGTCGTGTTCCCAAGTCTTTCTAAGCAGACCCCATCATTTAAACAGGTAGTGTCATTACACTGTTCTGTACATATTCTTCCTGGTCTGTTGGTGGCAGGTATGTCTGAGAATCCACTGTTACATGAACATGTGAAACTACCTGCACTGTTGGAACATATGGCATTAGCATCACAGTCATTCAATTCACTAGATGCACACTCATCAATATCTGGAACAAATAAGTAGGTCAAGTGTAAATATTATAGTCTTTCATATGCTTTAAATAATCATAAATCATTAGAATTCACATTTTTCTGGCTTATATTTAAAGTTCCTGCTATGTTCATAGAAATGCTAACGGTTCCTGATATCTGCATGGCTGTATGCTTTGTCGCACTATAGAGGGCCAAAGAAATGATCACATTCTGAAATGATCAATAATTACCTGATACTATCAATGCACTAGTTGTGGATGAAGCAAAGATTGTTGAATTCCCTAGTATTGTAGTTAACTCTGCTGAACTGAGTCCATTTGATATGTTCACTAGTATGTCTGAAGTTGCCACTAATGCAGTGAACCTGTCTTTTGCCTCCTGAGCAGTCACTGGCCTTTCTGTTTCCTGGGAGAACACAATTGTGTACTTAACCTCAGCTGCATTCGCCGCAGTGTTGTTTTCTACCACAGACCTGGGTGTGAAGCCAGTCACTTGACATCTTAGGTAGACTGATGATAATGAGGAAGTTTGATATGTTGAGTCGACCTGAAAAATAAAGAAAAGTATATGGAGCCCACTTATACTGATATTTTTTATTTGCATATTTTTTCCCAATGTTTATAACTATACGTAGTTTTCAATCAATATAAAAAGTACATTTCAAACCTCTTGTGACTGAATTCCCCACTAGTAATCATCTGTGACCATTTTTCAAACTAGCAGCCATAATGACACCAAGTACCATATAAAAATACTGTACTTACTAGTTATTATTTCTTTAATTTATCATATTTATTTGATGTGAATGATGTTTACTATATAAATGTATGTTATCTTACCTCAGCACACACTTTGGCTGCCAGTGCTAAATAGGCTTCAGATGTAGGCACTGCCAAGTCGGCAGTGTATGTTGTGGTTAAGGGGGCCACAGTTTGGTATTCCAATGTGCCTGAAAGATGAAATTAAATAGGTTTTTATATCAATTAAGTAACTTCATCATAAATCATATTTTTATGCTACATTTAAATGTAATATTTTTCTTTAAATTTGTAAAAGGGATCTGTTTAACTTAAAACAATGCATATACTATGTGAAACAAAAAACCAGTATTTTTTATGTATATTCATTCCTAATTGAAAATTATGTTTAGATGAATTTTAGAAATATTTTCAGTTACCACTACTATATGGCATATTTATCCTAATTTATACATGTTTAAAATTATGAACCCACTTTTTGAACAAAGAGGTCCCCCAAAGCCTGGAGCACAGAGGCATGTAAATTGCTGAGAGCTTTCTTCCCTGTAACATGTGCCTCCATTCTTGCATGGCAGAGCTGCACTACATGGATCTGTCAGGGTAATGGTTGTCGTACTCACTGTAAACACAAATTCAATATTTTATAATATTTGATTATTGATTCAAATATTTTTTAGATTACTTAATGAAAATAATGTAAAATAATATAAAAATAATGGAAAAGCAGCGGTATATCACTATTCATTAATTTTTAAATATTTCCTCTTATAAATATAACAAATACTTATTCAAATGTCAATAATATATTACCTTTTAACATTTTATTTCTTTGCCAATGTTTTAAAAAAATATTTCATTGAATAAACATGAAAAGCGACATAAAGGGAACTATGTTTGTAAGTTGATGGCTAAAAGTTGGGACTGTTCCCATTGATAAATTATTTTTTACTAAACCATCCTCATAGTAATAATTAAAGTAACATAGCTCTTTTGAAGAAAAAGCATGCTTATTAATTTTATCTGAAATTAAAAATACAAAAAATCATAAAAATCAATATAATTTTTCATTCTTTTTTTTCATATTAGTTTTTTATGAGTATTTTTATCTGTGTAATATTAATAAAAATTGCTGTTCATATTACATGTATATTATTATCATAATTAGTCAATTTTTTATAAACTTACCATAAATAGTTAATGTGAGTACCCATTTCATAAATTCCATTTTCAGTTACATGTGTCAATCCACTACACTAAATTCAAAGTCTCAATAATTGAGCATTATTTCCTGGACAAAGTGATATTTCACTCGAGCAAATGTCAAGAAGGCCATCTAAATTCTGAATGAACGACAGTAGCCTCCCACCCAAAGAACAAATACAATTTCCATTTAGTCTGAGTCAAATATGTTGACATTGCTATTGTTAAAATGAAAGAAGTAGAAACTTTACCAATTTGATCAGTCCCTTTGGCAATATTTGATTATCCATTTTCTAACAATTCAAAGGTTTGAATAATTGTATAACTTCCCAAAGACAAATAATGGTCAAACTGTTAATTCTAGGGTGTGACTCCTATGAACAATAACATTTACAAAAGATTATCGTATGTCTGAACAATATTACTTTTCAAGATTTGAATTTATTTATTTGAAGTATTCCTTTCTTATTGAAACAGCAAGAAATTTTAAGAAAAGCTAAATAGTTGTAGTATGTATTTAAGGCTATCATTTTTACCAATGAGTTGAAATTAATATAAGCTTAAGGTACTTTGAATTAGTTATAATTCTGAGGCAAATCACTTCAGAGTTATCTAAACTTTTGTTTGTGCTGTGACAAGGTGGTGCCCAAAAGATAATTATTAAATAACTGAAAAACATTATAGAATTGGTTTTTGATATTAATATATATCTCCAAACGAATTGATTTTTGAAGCCATTCCTCAATATATAGAATTAAAAAGTCAGACATGGCTTTTGTGATTCCAAAACTGTTTTTGCAGCATTTCATTAAAGTATTAATTTTTTTGAATTATCATATTCAATAATGTCAAACAGCTCTCAGTAATTCAGTAGTTTTGAAATCCTGTAATCTGTTGATTATGTCTTTGTTTTATTACCAGTAGCTATAAATAGGAAAGTCAGGGATATTAATAGAAGAAAAATATTTGCCATGCTCTTAGATTTATTAGACTTCTTAGACTCTCTTAGACTTGAGTTGATTTTCCATGTTAAGGTTGTACTTCAATGTATTGTGCAGTCAATTGGCACATCTCCAATGACAAAAAACAAAACTGAATAAAACAATGAATGATCGCAGTCATTTTTAAGAAAATCTGAATTGCGCATTTTTTTAAAAGATAAAAAATAATTTCCCATTGAGAGCAATGTTAAATTAAAACATTTTATCAGAAATAATTAAATGTTCAATCTTCCTAATGTTCGCACAATTTGTTATACATCAGTATATCTTTCACCTTGATTTTTTCAAGAAGATCTGAATTGTAGAAAAAAGTCATTTGGCATTCAAGTACTACTTTAAGTTAAGGGCACATGATCTAGAACCTGAAGGGTAGATCGTCAATTTAAATGTTTAAATGATTTTAAGAACCCGATTTTTCAGCTATTATAATTCGCCATTTTTAGTTTTACATTTAACTTTTTTTTAGTTGATCAATTTCATATATGATTTAAAACTGCAAGTCCTGCCATATATCATCCACTTACCATCTGTTGCTGGAGTTGTCTCAGCTTCAGTTGTGTTCACAGGTTCAGTTGATGGTGGGGTTGTTGTTGATGTAATAGGCTCAATACATTCATAAGAGCCAATCTTATTCACACATTCACGATTAATTGGACATGAGCTAGATTCTGCACACTCATCAATGTCTTGACATATAGTTTGATTTCCAATATAGCCTGTTTCACATGTACAAAGGTATGATCCTGCAATTGAATTAGAAACATATTTAGTATCATTATCTGTCTCTTATGATACTGTATGAAATTAGTTGTTTTTGGCCAAAACTAGACAAACAAGATATTTTTCTGTATGAATTAAGGGCTAACGGTTAGTTTTAATATGATATGGACTTTGGTGTCAATATGCTGATTCCAAATATATGTATACCTATTTACCTACAGCTAGAGAGTACTGTTATACAGTATTATGAATTATATACCTGGTCTGTTAGTGCATCTTGCATTTGGATCAGTGCAGGGATTAGTTAGGTTGCTGCACTCATCAATATCCTCACATATTCCATTGCTGTTGTTGAAGAAACCAGCCTTACAGCTACAGTTAGGAGTCAAGGAGCCTTGTATGTTTATACATATACTGTTGGGTCCACAACCTTGGGTAAGGCACTCATCCACATCTATTTAAGAGAGAGTATACAGTTTACATATTATTGAAACATGTATGAATTAAAATCACATTTTGCATTTACTTATTTAGAACATTTAATGTCACACCTGAAAAAGGAAAATTGTATGTGTTGTTATGGCTAAAATTAAAGCACAGCAGAGGACTTTTTTCACCCAGTCCTGTTGTCTAATGAAAAATAAACTTACAATTTTATACTCTTAACAATGTTCATTATATTGCTTCTCAAAAATTCACTTTTTATCATGTCTACTTAGCTTCCAAATAGTGTTGACTCACCAATGCATATCCCTGATTCATTTTGGCTGAATCCGTCTATACATGTGCATATATATGATCCTTGTGTATCTGAGCATATTGAAAACTGGCCACATATTTCTTGTGTCTCATTACACTCATTCACATTATCTGCACATTGCTCCCCTCTCCATCCAGGTTGACAAACCACACATCCTGCAGCTTTGTCACATCTTTGTGCTCGATCTCCACATGAACATATATTGCTACACTCCAATCCCCAATGTATTGCATCACAGGCTGTAATAGTTAATTGGAAATATATATGCAGTGTCAGCACTCCATTCTATAGATGCTATATGTGTGTACTTCTATAGTTTTGTTATATGAATCGCTATTGTCTGTTATGCATTCATACCATTGTGTATTGATATAGCCATATGCCATAATAGCCATACTACAAGTATAGACCCCTAGCTAGAGCATTATAATAGTGTAAAATGTGAGCATCTTAACTAAATTATTAAAACTAGCCACACCAACAGACAACATCCCATACTCTTCCAGCAAGGTTATCCTTCCTTCACCTCCCACTGATGAAATTCACACGCATTTTATAGTATTCAAATTATCTATAAAGATCCTACCTGAACATGAATATCCATCTCCTGCTAGGGTATATCCTGCATTGCAGGAACAGTTGTAACCACCAGGGTAGTTTATACATTTTTGTTCACATAAGTTGGTTGCATTACATTCATCGACATCATCACAGGTGACATTATCTGCATTGAGCTCATAGCCTGATCCACAGAAACAAGTGTCAACTGACTCAATGACTTCACAGCCAAAATCACACGATTTGTTGCATTTGAGTGCAGTCTCATTGAGAACACACTGACTGGTGTCATTGGGGTTGATGTAGTAGGTATTTCTGCATCCACAAGAATAGCTACCAGGAGTGTTGGTGCACAACTGGCTACAGCCTGATGTCCCAAGTAAACACTCATCTATATCTGTAATAGTAATGGGGAAAACATTACATTCAGACAAACAACAATCATGTTATGCATTACATACACAATGATATTTAATCATGCAAATATAATTTCATTTACAAAATGATGTATCAATACCATAGAATACAAGGTAAACCCAAATATTATTTTGTTTTGTGGGTAAATCAGTTCCAATATTTTCATTTGCTTTATGTTCTGTCCATAAGTACATTGTACATTTTCTGTTTTATGGTGTACCTTGACATGTATTGTTTTGGTTATTGTTGCTGTAGCCTGGGTTGCATTGGCAGTTGTAGCTTCCTTGGTTGTTGACGCAAATCTGATCACATATACCACTGTTGTTCTTACACTCATCAACATCTACAAACATCATATGCTGACATTACATCTATACATTTCAGTACATATTCAAGTTTATTCCTTCTATATAAGCTAACACTGTATAAGCTAACACTAAACATTACATTACAGCCACAAAGCAAGTACTACTACATGTACTAACCTACACAGAAAGAACCTTCCTGTACAAATCCAACCGGACACGAGACACATATATAATCAATCCTCTGAATTGCCTCATCTTCTGGGGTGAGATCTGTGCAGTTCAAACCATCGCAAGGGTCCCTTGCACATCCATCACTGTCTACACTACAGAATTCTCCTGTTTGCAAAAATATAAAACCATTAAAAAATGTTAACCAATATTACCACCAGTTATGTTACTGTTGTCAAAAGAATTTTTAATCTACAAGTGCTATATTTCATTTCTGTCTGGTTTTATTGTGAACCCAGAGAATTATTGTGAAAGCCTCATGCATACTGATTTCATCAAAACTTTGAAATGTATTATTTCATACATGTTTTAATTGAGAAAACAGATCTTACCTTCCCATCCAATGTCACAGTCACAGTCTACTTTACTGAAGCTAGATGTTTGGTTTACTGATTCAAGAAAAATGAAGTCACACCGACCCTGGTCGGAACAACCATTGCACATTTGGACATACACTCTATATGTGGGTGATCTAGCCCCTTTGTTGTCTGTAGCATAGAATCTGAAACACATACACATATATTAATCAATAGTAATTTACTTTCATTTGGAAACTGCGATAAGAGGCATTTTTGTAAGAATAATGAAATGGTGGAGAGGAATATACTAGAATGATTTATAGTGAGTACATAAAAGTATATTATCTAGCATACCTTATTGATACAGGGCTAGTATCCTTTGGTGTCCAAAAGAAGTTTTTTGTGGTTGTATTGAACACTGCTCCTGATGCATCCGTTTCAAATGTGATGTCAACAGGGTCAGAGTCTATGTCATTGACATCGATTGTAAAGTTAATCAACTTGTCAACTGTTGCACTTATTACAGACGGTAAACTCAAGGTTGGAGAGGAGTTTTCTGCAAGCAAGACATACTACCTTAATCAGATTTATATATTATTGACACCTTCCTATTGTGACTTTTGGTTAAAACATCTTCTCGATTGGAGGGGGGAGGGGGATGTTAGACATTGTTTCTTTTCACGTTAGATTATGGTTTTGGGATATATAGGGTCTACTTTTCTTACGACAGATTTACACTTACAGTTTGCTTTTCTTGTTGGGTTTCTTTAAAATTTTTAGTCACCCTTCCCTTTGGCATTTGTGCTTATAATGTATATTGTATTCATATATGTGAATCTGGAGCAGTTACAATTAATTTTCACATTTTTTATCTAATCATACCTATGGTCTCCTCAATGATTTCTTCCTGCACATGTAACTGTTTTGTATTATTCGCAACAATTTCATTTTGCGTGACTAAATAGTCATAAATACAGTCTACCAACTGAGGGGAGCCACATAGTTGTTCTGCTTGTTTCCTCTCTGAATCACTGAAGTCTGATAGGAATGCTGGTTTGAAGTTTGGGTCATAGAAGGTGTCCATAGATTGACCACTAAGGTACCAGAAAATACTAGTGATGTTGGTTACTTGCCCTGCAGAATTGAATAGACATGTTTCAGTGTCAGCATCAATCAATGGTAATCAAGAAAATATACAGTAATCCAAAATGTGCAAATTTGGCAAATATTGTATAGATTATAAAAAGTTAATTCAAATAAATCTTTTATCAAATACTTACAGGCTTGACCATATTCAAATATCTCTGACTCATTTGCAGTTATAGGAACCAATGCGCCATCTGGGAGTGTAAGATCATCAGTTATGTTCCCATTCACATTACCAAGTAGACCTTTGGATGGAATACCAGCTGGTAAAGTAACAGAGAGATGTAGCATCTCTGCGCTGACACTCACAGTAAGAGAAAACCCTGAATAAGATATACACATGTTAATACCTTTTAGCCTTTTCTGATGATGTGGAACATTATGGGATTATGTTTGAATACAAATACAAACCACATCTATGTGGCAACTCAGAATAACTAGTTGTAATGTGTTTCTTAGTAACTAATATGGACTTACCTGATTTAAAGGAAGCAGTAAGAGTTGTTGAAGAATTCATTTGCAAGAACAAATTCTTGAATACTCCATCATCTACATTCACTGAATTCAAAAGGTTGGCTATGGGTACAAGGTCTTCTTCCACATACACTTCCAGACCTGTGGGTGAACAACATATGAATTTTACTCAACAATTATGATAAGCTAGTCTAATATCATGCTCTACATTCTAAATTAGGGGCATACCCAGGCATGAATCAGGCAAGGCAATTTTATTGAAGACACATCATTCATACATAATAAGAGTTTACATCCCTTTTGACTAGATTTTTTCTGAGCTATTGAAGATCCTGTCTATGACACTGCAAATTGTGATTGCAGGCTGCAAATGCCATTAATTGTCATATAGTATACTATGTAAATTGCATACATCATACTATTATTACCTTTTTTGTCTTCACTGATGGTCACCTGAAGCTGGTCTGAGGAGTTTTCTTGTGCAGCAAAGGCATTCCATACTGTGGCTGTATGGTTAGTACTATTGCTTAAAGATACTATCCCAGTTCGGCCTTGGAGCATAACATTGTCAGTATCTAGTAGTATGTATTCTCCAAGTCCATTAAATGTGTAGTAAAACCCATCTAATGTTTCTATGTGAGGGTCTCCAATACTGTAGGTTGCTAAATTAACAAATATAGTGATAGTTGTTGTTTAAACATTTTTTTTAATTTGGTGCAAGCATTTTGCTATTAGAAATATAGTTGTCTTTGCGTTTTATAATTCATTGCATTTCGCCATCCTTTGTAGAATGACTCATTCAGAGTCTGATATTCAGTGATAAAACATTTAAAGAGTTGACCTAATATTACCTGATAGAGGAATATAGTTTTCACTGGTAGATATTGGTCTGGCCAATTCATAATAGTCACAGAGTTGACTGTTTTCACAACACCATGAATAGGGGAGCTTATCTTCACGTTGGTGCTCTTCATTATAGTAATCTTCATGGTATAGCTGGAGGAAACCTGCATTTGTTTGATCAATGTTCAATGCACCATCTAACCAACTGTAGCAACATTCCTGAAAACCACCAACAAACATGTCAAGAAAAGAAAGATATATTTTTATTTTAAATCATGGGTGTTTGGAAAGAACTCGGGGTTCATTTTGTGAAAAATTTGGAGAAAACCCAGATTTATAGAAAAAAATCTGGAGAAAATCAGGGTTTCTAAAAAATGTCAGGAGAAAATTGGAGTTTCAAAAGTTAAACAACAATTCGAAAAAATGTGGATAAAATCTGGTTTGCTAAATTGGGGAAGATTCAAGGTTTTCAAAAACTAATCACTTGACAGGTGAGCAATAAGATACATGTTTAATGATCACCTATTAATTGATACTATGATACATTATTCTATTCATTTAACACAGTGTCTTAAAGATACATCCCCATACAATCATGAATTTTATAGTAAGTGTAAAGTTTGTGGACTTACCCTTCCTGCATTAGTGCTTGATGCAAATGTTGTTACAACACATAGTTTCTCACTGGAAATCGAAGCTGATGGTTTGAAGCGGGGATCTATAAGAGCCTGATCGAGCCTACATGGACAATCGTGTAGTTCTGTGTTGGCAGTTAAAACTGCATTGCTATCTTGTGTGTTAAACCATTCTATACATTGCTGTGCATAGTTTTCATCTGCTGTTTCATAGCTGTGGAACAGTGGAAACAACCATTTCCCTATCTCACCTGCAAATTAAAGTATACTTACAATCTTGAGTTTATAAGCGTTTGTAACACTAGGATGTTTGATAGTCATTTATCATATTGAATTCCATTCAAATTCTTTGATTTCTCCTTCAACAACACATTTAACATAATTATTGAGCCAATAAAACTTACCAGTATTCCCTTGTATCTGGTCAAGGAAAAACATTGCTCCGGTTCCAGAGACAAATGTGTTATAGTAGTTGAAGTTATTTCCATCAGTGAATCCATTGTATGCCTGTCTGAAGTTTTGGTAGTTACCACCAAAGTTAATTTTGTCATAGATAATCATAGCATAAGCCTTTGTTAGGTCACTTACTATGATTAATTGGTATGTAGCATTCTGAAAAAATGATAGGAATGTAAGAGAGACTTTTTTGACATCCCTGTTTAAGCCTTTTTGGTCAAAATATCTCAGGAGTGAGCGTCTAGCTCATTTGCAAACATATTTGTGGCATTTGTAAATTTCAAATTTGCAACAGGGCATCTTCTTTGTTGCTGGAAAAATCACTGCATTATACAGTTTTAATGATAAAAAAAACAAGTAAATAATAGTTAGTTACCTGACTCCCAGAATAGTGCCAGTATGGCTCTGGTGTTACATCTTTCCAAGTGGCAACAACTGCCAGGTTTGCTTGAAACTGTGTTGCTGTGTATTTACTGATCTCAATTCCTATTGCGTCTAACAACTCAAGGGTATAAAAAGAAGCCTGTGTCCCATAACGATAGTACTGTTTGAAATATACTTGGCCTGGTTGATCTGTATTAACAGTAGCATTAATTGCCTCTTGAAGCTGTGAAGGAACTGCTTCTACTGACAGATTTTGAAGTACTTCAAAAGATACAAGATGATCTTGTGGAGTCCAAAATGGTGCAATTGCACTTATACTGTCCCCAACAGGGAAGGCCTGTGGCTTGTAGTTATCCATATTCTCTGTGAAACTCAAAAAGCCATGCACACTCAACTGAAATTTAAGATGAATTATTTCAAATATACTGAAAAAAGATCTACTCTGCAGTGTCTACTTTTTGATTTGTAGTTTGAAACCGGCTTAAATGCTTTTATCTGTTGTAAATGGCCATGTTCAGAGCTACATGTATTTCATATATCTAAAAGTCTAAAAATAATAAAGTAAGCCACAGTTATTTATAGTGAATTTGAAATATTGCTTACATAAAATTTTGTTTGCATCTTATTGAAGAATGGGAAAGGCATCTCTAGCTTGAATTTTTCAGGTTCATCCCAAGAAGGTACTTTTAACTGAGTATCTCCAGTATCACTGCCATATGGGTACATTGCACCCGTCCCTGGAAAAAAAAGAGATAAGTCATATATATCATGCTGAGATATAACACTTTACATGGTTTCTGTATCACATGTCTATTTCATTTTCCTTCCAAATGAAATATGTATAGATGAAGCATCCATCATCTCATTCAACCATTCCATTTTTCCAGCAATCTTGGTGATAATTGTCGTGGGATCTTGTTCTAATTTTATAAGGCGATAACTTGTTGTAAGAAGACTTCTGCTCAAGAAGAAATTGCCAAACTAGCCATCATAAAATATGTATAGGATATCCTATGATTTTGAGTGATATCATTTTTATTCACGAGTTGATATCAATATCTGAAAGAGTGAGCGATGCGAATGAGTGCAGATATTGATATTAATGAGCCATAGTTTATTCCTGTTGGTCATTGTGAATTTTTGTGTTTTATGGACCAGTATTGTGGATGGATTTTGACCCTTTCAAACTCTAATGGCCATTGAGAATGGATTTTGGCTGTCACATATCATCAGCTGAATGGTCTACATTGTATGAATACAAGTAGCTTAAAGAGGGATCTGGCGATAGGAAAGCACAATTAAAACACCCCTGGACTTTTTCGCATGTCAAGCCACATCACTTATTCACTTATCTACTCACAAATGAAGAAGCCCCTAAACGACTGCTTTGTGTGCTAACTTTGCAATTGTGCTGACCAGTCGAATTATTTTAGTCAAAATTAATTATCTGAAACTTGAATAAATGGAGGAAATCCATATGTATCTGATTGGTAGTTAGATATATTTGAATATACATACTATTCTGCAGTATTGATGCTGCTGTTGTAGTAGGAATTGTAACTGTTGTAACAGCTATAGTTGTTGTATCAGCTAATGTTGTTTTAGCACCAGCTGTTGTAGTTTCTGCCACTGTTGTAGCACCAGCTGTAGTTTTATCAGAAACTGTTGTTGTAGCATCAGCTGTTGTAATATCTGCCAGTGTGGTTGAAGCATCGACTGTAGTTGTAAGTGCAACTGTTGTTGTAGCATCAGCTGTAGTTGTAACTGCAACTGTTGTAGCATCAGCTTTAGTTGTAACTGTAACTGTTGTAGCATCAGCTGTAGTTTTATCAGCAACTGTTGTAGGATCAACTGTAGTTGTTTCAACTCCTGAAGTTGTAACATCAGCAACTGTCGGTGTAACATCAGCTGTAGTTGTGTCAACCACTGAAGTTGTAGCATCAGCTGCTGCAGTTATTGTAACACCAGCCGTTGTTGGTGATGCCACTGTTGTTGTTGCATCATCTGTAGTTGAAACAGCCACTGTAGTTGTAGCATCAGATGCTGTAGTATCTGCCGTAGTTGCGTCAGACACTGTAGTAGTGTAAGCAATTATTGTAACATCAGCCGCTGTTTCATCAGCAACTGTTGTAACATCAGCCATTGTTGCATTAGCATATGTTGTTGTAGCATCAGCTGTGGTTGTGATACCCACTGTAGTTGTAGCATCAGCTGCTGTAGTATCTGTCCTAGTTGCGTCAGCTACTGTAGTTGTGTCAGCTCGTGTTGTTGTAACATCAGTTGTTGTTGCATCTGCAACTGTTGTTATAGCATCAGCTGTAGTTGTGTCAGCCATTATAGTTGTAGCATCAGCTGGTGTAGGATCTGCCTTAGTTGCATCAGCCACTGTAGTTGTATCTACAACTGTTGTTGTAACATCAGATGTCGTTGCATCATCAACTGTTGTAGCATCAGCTGTACTTTTGACAGCCACTATAGTTGTAGCATCAGCTGAGGTAGTGTCTGCAGTAATTGCATCAGCCACTGTAGTTGTTTCAGCTGTTATTTTTGTAACATCAGCCGTTGTTGCATCGGTAACTCTTGTTGTAGCATCAGCTGTAGTTGTATCAGCCTCTGTAGTTATGTCATGTGATGCTGTAGTATCTGCCGTAGTTTTGTCAGACAATGTAGTTGTGCCATCAACTGGTGTTGTAGTATCAGCTGATGTAGTATCTGCCGTAGTTGCGTCAGCCACTGTAGTTTTATCAGCTACTGTTGTTGTCACATCAGTCGTTGTTGCTTGAGCAACTGTTGTAGCATCAGCTGTAGTTGGGTCAGCCATTGTAGTTGTTGCATCAGCTGTTGTACTATCTGCCACAGTTGCGCCAGCCACTGTAGTTGTGTCAGCAACTGCTCTTGTAACATCAGCCGTTGTTGCATCAGCAACTGCTGTTGTAGCATCAGCTGAAGTTATGTCAGCCACTGTAGTTGTAGCATCAACTGCTGTAGTATCTGCTGTAGTTGCGTCAGCCACTGTAGTTGTGTCAGCTACTGTTGTTGTTACATCAGCCGTTGTTGCATCAGCAGCTGTTGTTGTATCATCAGCAGCTGTTGTTGTAGCATCAGCTAAAGTTGTGTCAGCCACTGTAGTTGTAGCATCAGCTGCTTTAGTTTCTGCCATAGTTGCGTCAGCCACTGTAGTTGTGTCAGCTACTGTTGTTGTAACATCAGCCGTTGTTGCATCAGCAACTGTTGTTGTAGCATCAGCAACTGTTGTTTTGTCAGCTACTGTTGTTGTAGCATCAGCTAAAGTTGTGTCAGTAACTGTAGTTGTAGCATCAGCTGCTGTAGTATCTGCCTTAGTTGCGTCAGCCACTGTAGTTGTGTCAGCAACTGCTGTTGTAACATCAGCCGTTGTTGCATCAGCAACTGTTGTTGTAGCATCAGCTGCAGTTGTGTCAGCCACTGTAGTTGTAGCATCAGCTGCTGTAGTATCTGCCGTAGTTGCGTCAGCCACTGTAGTTGTGTCAGCTACTGTTGTTGTAACATCAGCCGTTGTTGCATCAGCAACTGTTGTTGTAGCATCAGCTGTAGTTGTGTCAGCCACTGTACTTGTAGCATCAGCTGCTGTAGAATCTGCCGTAGTTGCGTCAGCCACTGTAGTTGTGTCAGCAACTGCTGTTGTAACATCAGCCGTTGTTGCATCAGCAACTGTTGTTGTAGCATCAGCTGCAGTTGTGTCAGCCACTGTAGTTGTAGCATCAGCTGCTGTAGTATCTGCCGTAGTTGCGTCAGCCACTGTAGTTGTGTCAGCTACTGTTGTTGTAACATCAGCCGTTGTTGCATCAGCAACTGTTGTTGTAGCATCAGCTGTAGTTGTGTCAGCCACTGTACTTGTAGCATCAGCTGCTGTAGAATCTGCCGTAGTTGCGTCAGCCACTGTAGTTGTGTCAGCAACTGCTGTTGTAACATCAGCCGTTGTTGCATCAGCAACTGTTGTTGTAGCATCAGCTGCAGTTGTGTCAGCCACTGTAGTTGTAGCATCAGCTGCTTTAGTATCTGCCGTAGTTGCGTCAGCCAATGTAGTTGTGTCAGCTACTGTTGTTGTAACATCAGCCGTTGTTGCATCAGCAACTGTTGTTGTAGCATCAACTGCTGTAGTATCTGCCGTAGTTGCGTCAGCCACTGTAGTTGTGTCAGCTACTGTTGTTTTAATATCAGCCGTTGTTGCATCAGCAACTGTTGTTGTAGCATCAGCTGTAGTTGTGTCAGCCACTGCACTTGTAGCATCAGGTGCTGTAGTATCTGCCGTAGTTGCGTCAGCCACTGTAGTTGTGTCAGCAACTGCTGTTGTAACATCAGCCGTTGTTGCATCAGCAACAGTTGTTGTAGCATCAGCTGCAGTTGTGTCAGCCACTGTAGTTGTAGCATCAGCTGCTGTAGTATCTGCCGTAGTTGCGTCAGCCACTGTAGTTGTGTCAGCTACTGTTGTTGTAACATCAGCCGTTGTTGCATCAGCAACTGTTGTTGTAGCATCAGCTGTAGTTGTGTCAGCCACTGTACTTGTAGCATCAGCTGCTGTAGTATCTGCCGTAGTTGCGTCAGCCACTATAGTTGTGTCAGCAACTGCTGTTGTAACATCAGCCGTTGTTGCATCAGCAACTGTTGTTGTAGCATCAGCTGCAGTTGTGTCAGCCACTGTAGTTGTAGCATCAGCTGCTGTAGTATCTGCCGTAGTTGCGTCAGCCACTGTAGTTGTGTCAGCTACTGTTGTTGTAACATCAGCCGTTGTTGCATCAGCAACTGTTGTTGTAGCATCAGCTGTAGTTGTGTCAGCCACTGTACTTGTAGCATCAGCTGCTGTAAAATCTGCCGTAGTTGCGTCAGCCACTGTAGTTGTAGCATCAGCTGCAGTTGTGTCAGCCACTGTAGTTGTAGCATCAGCTGCTGTAGTTGTGTCAGCTACTGTTGTTGTAACATCAGCCGTTGTTGCATCAGCAACTGTTGTTGTAGCATCAGCTGTAGTTGTGTCAGCCACTGTACTTGTAGCATCAGCTGCTGTAGTATCTGCCGTAGTTGCGTCAGCCACTGTAGTTGTGTCAGCTACTGTTGTTGTAACATCAGCCGTTGTTGCAGCAGCAACTGTTGTTGTAGCATCAGCTGTAGTTGTGTTAGCCACTGTAGTTGTAGCATCAGCTGCTGTAGTATCTGCCGTAGTTGCATCAGCCACTGTAGTTGTGTCAGCTACTGTTGTTGTAACATCAGCCGTTGTTGCATCAGCAACTGTTGTTGTAGCATCACCTGAAAATGTGTCAGCCTCTGTTGTTGTAGCATCAGCTGCTGTTGTATCTGCCGTAGTTGCGTCAGCCACTGTAGTTGTGTCAGCTACTGTTGTTGTAACATCAGCCGTTGTTGCATCAGGAACTGTTGTTGTAGCATCAGCTGTAGTTGTGTCAGCCACTGTAGTTGTAGCATCAGCTGCTGTAGTATCTGCCGTAGTTGCGTCAGCCACTGTAGTTGTGTCAGCTACTTTTGTTGTAACATCAGCCGTTGTAGCATCAGCAAAAGTTGTTGTAGCATCAGCTGTTGTTGTGTCAGCCACTGTAGTTGTAGCATCAGCTGCTGTAGTATCTGCCGTAGTTGCGTCAGCCACTGTAGTTGTGCCAGCTACTGTTGTTGTAACATCAGCCGTTGTTGCATCAGCAACTGTTGTTGTAGCATCAGCTGTAGTTGTGTCAGCCACTGTAGTTGTAGCATCAGCTGCTGTAGTATCTGCCGTAGTTGCGTCAGCCACTGTAGTTGTGTCAGCTACTGTTGTTGTAACATCAGCCGTTTTTGCATCAGCAACTGTTGTTGTAGCATCAGCTGTAGTTGTGTCAGCCACTGTAGTTGTAGCATCAGCTGCTGTAGTATCTGCCGTAGTTGCGTCAGCCACTGTAGTTGTGTCAGCTACTGTTGTTGTAACATCAGCCGTTGTTGCATCAGCAACTGTTGTTGTAGCATCACCTGAAAATGTGTCAGCCTCTGTTGTTGTAGCATCAGCTGCTGTAGTATCTGCCGTAGTTGCGTCAGCCACTGTAGTTGTGTCAGCTACTGTTGTTGTAGCATCAGCCGTTGTTGCATCAGCAACTGTTGTTGTAGCATCAGCTGTAGTTGTGTCAGCCACTGTAGTTGTAGCATCAGCTGCTGTAGTATCTGCCGTAGTTGCGTCAGCCACTGGAGTTGTGTCAGCTACTGTTGTTGTAACATCAGCCGTTGTTGCATCAGCAACTGTTGTTGTAGCATCACCTGAAAATGTGTCAGCCTCTGTTGTTGTAGCATCAGCTGCTGTAGTATCTGCCGTAGTTGCGTCAGCCACTGTAGTTGTGTCAGCTACTGTTGTTGTAGCATCAGCCGTTGTTGCATCAGCAACTGTTGTTGTAGCATCAGCTGTAGTTGTGTCAGCCACTGTAGTTGTAGCATCAGCTGCTGTAGTATCTGCCGTAGTTGCGTCAGCCACTGTAGTTGTGTCAGCTACTGTTGTTGTAACATCAGCCGTTGTAGCATCAGCAACTGTTGTTGTAGCATCAGCTGTAGTTGTGTCAGCCACTGTAGTTGTAGCATCAGCTGCTGTAGTATCTGCCGTAGTTGCGTCAGCCTCTGTAGTTGTGTCAGCCACTGTTGTTGTAGCATCAGCTGCTGTAGTATCTGCCGTAGTTGCGTCAGCCATTGTAGTTGTGTCAGCTACTGTTGTTGTAACATCAGCCGTTGTTGCATCAGCAACTGTTGTGGTAGCATCAGCTGTAGTTGTGTCAGCCACTGTAGTTGTAGCATCAGCTGCTGTAGTATCTGCCGTAGTTGCGTCAGCCACTGTAGTTGTGTCAGCTACTGTTGTTGTAACATCAGCCGTTGTTGCATCAGCAACTGTTGTTGTAGCATCAGCTGTAGTTGTGTCAGCCACTGTACTTGTAGCATCAGCTGCTTTAGTATCTGCCGTAGTTGCGTCAGCCACTGTAGTTGTGTCAGCTACTGTTGTTGTAACATCAGCCGTTGTTGCATCAGCAACTGTTGTTGTAGCATCAGCTGTAGTTGTGTCAGCCACTGTAGTTGTAGCATCAGCTGCTGTAGTATCTGCCGTAGTTGCGTCAGCCACTGTAGTTGTGTCAGCTACTGTTGTTGTAACATCAGCCGTTTTTGCATCAGCAACTGTTGTTGTAGCATCAGCTGTAGTTGTGTCAGCCACTGTAGTTGTAGCATCAGCTGCTGTAGTATCTGCCGTAGTTGCGTCAACCACTGTAGTTGTGTCAGCTACTGTTGTTGTAACATCACCCGTTGTTGCATCAGCAACTGTTGTTGTAGCATCACCTGAAAATGTGTCAGCCTCTGTTGTTGTAGCATCAGCTGCTGTAGTATCTGCCGTAGTTGCGTCAGCCACTGTAGTTGTGTCAGCTACTGTTGTTGTAGCATCAGCCGTTGTTGCATCAGCAACTGTTGTTGTAGCATCAGCTGTAGTTGTGTCAGCCACTGTACTTGTAGCATCAGCTGCTGTAGTATCTGCCGTAGTTGCGTCAGCCACTGTAGTTGTGTCAGCTACTGTTGTTGTAACATCAGCCGTTGTAGCATCAGCAAAAGTTGTTGTAGCATCAGCTGTTGTTGTGTCAGCCACTGTAGTTGTAGCATCAGCTGCTGTAGTATCTGCCGTAGTTGCGTCAGCCACTGTAGTTGTGCCAGCTACTGTTGTTGTAACATCAGCCGTTGTTGCATCAGCAACTGTTGTTGTAGCATCAGCTGTAGTTGTGTCAGCCACTGTAGTTGTAGCATCAGCTGCTGTAGTATCTGCCGTAGTTGCGTCAGCCACTGTAGTTGTGTCAGCTACTGTTGTTGTAACATCAGCCGTTTTTGCATCAGCAACTGTTGTTGTAGCATCAGCTGTAGTTGTGTCAGCCACTGTAGTTGTAGAATCAGCTGCTGTAGTATCTGCCGTAGTTGCGTCAGCCACTGTAGTTGTGTCAGCTACTGTTGTTGTAACATCAGCCGTTGTTGCATCAGCAACTGTTGTTGTAGCATCACCTGAAAATGTGTCAGCCTCTGTTGTTGTAGCATCAGCTGCTGTAGTATCTGCCGTAGTTGCGTCAGCCACTGTAGTTGTGTCAGCTACTGTTGTTGTAGCATCAGCCGTTGTTGCATCAGCAACTGTTGTTGTAGCATCAGCTGTAGTTGTGTCAGCCACTGTAGTTGTAGCATCAGCTGCTGTAGTATCTGCCGTAGTTGCGTCAGCCACTGTAGTTGTGTCAGCTACTGTTGTTGTAACATCAGCCGTTGTTGCATCAGCAACTGTTGTTGTAGCATCACCTGAAAATGTGTCAGCCTCTGTTGTTGTAGCATCAGCTGCTGTAGTATCTGCCGTAGTTGCGTCAGCCACTGTAGTTGTGTCAGCTACTGTTGTTGTAACATCAGCCGTTGTTGCATCAGCAACTGTTGTTGTAGCATCAGCTGTAGTTGTGTCAGCCACTGTAGTTGTAGCATCAGCTGCTGTAGTATCTGTTATAGTTGCGTCAGCCACTGTAGTTGTGTCAGCTACTGTTGTTGTAACATCAGCCGTTGTTGCATCAGCAACTGTTGTTGTAGCATCAGCTGTAGTTGTGTCAGCCACTGTAGTTGTAGCATCTTCTGCTGTAGTATCTGCCGTAGTTGCGTCAGCCACTGTAGTTGTGTCAGCTACTGTTGTTGTAACATCAGCCGTTGTAGCATCAGCAAAAGTTGTTGTAGCATCAGCTATTGTTGTGTCAGCCACTGTAGTTGTAGCATCAGCTGCTGTAGTATCTGCCGTAGTTGCGTCAGCCACTGTAGTTGTGCCAGCTACTGTTGTTGTAACATCAGCCGTTGTTGCATCAGCAACTGTTGTTGTAGCATCAGCTGTAGTTGTGTCAGCCACTGTAGTTGTAGCATCAGCTGCTGTAGTATCTGCCGTAGTTGCGTCAGCCACTGTAGTTGTGTCAGCTACTGTTGTTGTAACATCAGCCGTTGTTGCATCAGCAACTGTTGTTGTAGCATCAGCTGTAGTTGTGTCAGCCACTGTAGTTGTAGCATCAGCTGCTGTAGTATCTGCCGTAGTTGCGTCAGCCACTGTAGTTGTGTCAGCTACTGTTGTTGTAACATCAGCCGTTCTTGCATCAGCAACTGTTGTTGTAGCATCAGCTGTAGTTGTGTCAGCCACTGTAGTTGTAGCATCAGCTGCTGTAGTATCTGCCGTAGTTGCGTCAGCCACTGTAGTTGTGTCAGCTACTGTTGTTGTAACATCAGCCGTTGTTGAATCAGCAACTGTTGTTGTAGCATCAGCTGTAGTTGTGTCAGCCACTGTAGTTGTAGCATCAGCTGCTGTAGTATCTGCCGTAGTTGCGTCAGCCACTGTAGTTGTGTCAGCTACTGTTGTTGTAACATCAGCCGTTGTTGCATCAGCAACTGTTGTTGTAGCATCAGCTGCAGTTGTGTCAGCCACTGTAGTTGTAGCATCAGCTGCTGTAGTTGTGTCAGCTACTGTTGTTGTAACATCAGCCGTTGTTGCATCAGCAACTGTTGTTGTAGCATCAGCTGTAGTTGTGTCAGCCACTGTACTTGTAGCATCAGCTGCTGTAGTATCTGCCGTAGTTGCGTCAGCCACTGTAGTTGTGTCAGCAACTGCTGTTGTAACATCAGCCGTTGTTGCATCAGCAACTGTTGTTGTAGCATCAGCTGCAGTTGTGTCAGCCACTGTAGTTGTAGCATCAGCTGCTGTAGTATCTGCCGTAGTTGCGTCAGCCACTGTAGTTGTGTCAGCTACTGTTGTTGTAACATCAGCCGTTGTTGCATCAGCAACTGTTGTTGTAGCATCAGCTGTAGTTGTGTCAGCCACTGTACTTGTAGCATCAGCTGCTGTAAAATCTGCCGTAGTTGCGTCAGCCACTGTAGTTGTGTCAGCAACTGCTGTTGTAACATCAGCCGTTGTTGCATCAGCAACTGTTGTTGTAGCATCAGCTGCAGTTGTGTCAGCCACTGTAGTTGTAGCATCAGCTGCTGTAGTATCTGCCGTAGTTGCGTCAGCCACTGTAGTTGTGTCAGCTACTGTTGTTGTAACATCAGCCGTTGTTGCATCAGCAACTGTTGTTGTAGCATCAGCTGTAGTTGTGTCAGCCACTGTACTTGTAGCATCAGCTGCTGTAGTATCTGCCGTAGTTGCGTCAGCCACTGTAGTTGTGTCAGCTACTGTTGTTGTAACATCAGCCGTTGTTGAATCAGCAACTGTTGTTGTAGCATCAGCTGTAGTTGTGTCAGCCACTGTAGTTGTAGCATCAGCTGCTGTAGTATCTGCCGTAGTTGCGTCAGCCACTGTAGTTGTGTCAGCTACTGTTGTTGTAACATCAGCCGTTGTTGCATCAGCAACTGTTGTTGTAGCATCAGCTGCAGTTGTGTCAGCCACTGTAGTTGTAGCATCAGCTGCTGTAGTTGTGTCAGCTACTGATGTTGTAACATCAGCCGTTGTTGCATCAGCAACTGTTGTTGTAGCATCAGCTGTAGTTTTGTCAGCCACTGTACTTGTAGCATCAGCTGCTGTAGTATCTGCCGTAGTTGCGTCAGCCACTGTAGTTGTGTCAGCAACTGCTGTTGTAACATCAGCCGTTGTTGCATCAGCAACTGTTGTTGTAGCATCAGCTGCAGTTGTGTCAGCCACTGTAGTTGTAGCATCAGCTGCTGTAGTATCTGCCGTAGTTGCGTCAGCCACTGTAGTTGTGTCAGCTACTGTTGTTGTAACATCAGCCGTTGTTGCATCAGCAACTGTTGTTGTAGCATCAGCTGTAGTTGTGTCAGCCACTGTACTTGTAGCATCAGCTGCTGTAAAATCTGCCGTAGTTGCGTCAGCCACTGTAGTTGTGTCAGCAACTGCTGTTGTAACATCAGCCGTTGTTGCATCAGCAACTGTTGTTGTAGCATCAGCTGCAGTTGTGTCAGCCACTGTAGTTGTAGCATCAGCTGCTGTAGTATCTGCCGTAGTTGCGTCAGCCACTGTAGTTGTGTCAGCTACTGTTGTTGTAACATCAGCCGTTGTTGCATCAGCAACTGTTGTTGTAGCATCAGCTGCAGTTGTGTCAGCCATTGTAGTTGTAGCATCAGCTGCTGTAGAATCTGCCGTAGTTGCGTCAGCCACTGTAGTTGTGTCAGCTACTGTTGTTGTAACATCAGCCGTT